GAAGGTCAGGACAAACAGGCTTGCAAGTGGCCTTTCGGAGGCCTGCGAGCTCACAACACCACACGGTCACCGGGGAACTTTCAGCAAGTGCACGAAGGTCAGGACAAACCGGCTTGCAAGTGGCCGTCTGGAGGCCTGCTTCAGGCTCAAGAAACCACACGGTCACCGGGGAACTTTCAGCAAGCCCACGACGGTCGGGACAGAGAGGCTTGCAAATGGCCTTTTGGAGGCCTGCGCGAGGCTCGCGAAACCACACGGTCACTGGGGAACTTTCAGCATGCGCCCGAAGGTCATGACAGGCACACATGCAAGCGGTCTGGAAGCCTTCTGCAGGCTCAAAAATCCACACGGTCACCGGGGAACTTTCAGCAAGCGCACGAAGGTCGGGACGAAGAGGCTTGCAAATGGCCTTTCGGAGGCCTGCGCCAGGCTCACAAAACCATGCGGTCACCGGGGAACTTTCACGCGCATGAAGGTCGTGACCAAAAGGCACGCAAGTGTCCTTCTGGAGGCCTGTGTCAGGCTCAAAGAACCACACGGTCACGGGGGAACTTTCACCAAGGTCAGGACAAAGAGGCCTGCAAGTGGCCTTCTGGAGGCCTACTTCCGGCACGCCAAACCACACCACCAGGGAACTTGCAGCCAGCGCACAAAGGTCGGCACAGAGAGGCTTGCAAGTGGCCTTCTGCAGGCCCAAGTCCGGGACACAAAGCCACACGGTCACCGGGGAACTTTCAGCAAGTGCACGAAGGTCAGGACAAACCGGCTTGCAAGTGGCCGTCTGGAGGCCTGCTTCAGGCTCAAAAAACCACACGGTCACCGCGGAACTTTCAGCAAGCGCACGACGGTCGGGATAAAGAGGCTTACAAATGGCCTTTTGGAGGCCTGCGCCAGGCTCGCGAAACCACACGGTCACTGGGGAACTTTCAGTGTGCGCCCGAAGGTCGTGACAGACACGCACGAAAGTGGACTGGAGGCCTTCTGCAGGCTCAAGAGACCACACGGTCACCGGGGAACTTTCAGCAAGTGCACGGAGGTCGTGATTGAAAGGCACGCAAATTGCCTTCTGGAAGCCTGTGTCAAGCTCAAAAATCCACACGGTCACCGGGGAACTTTCAGCAAGCGCACGAAGGTCGGGACGAACAGACTTGCAAGTGGCCTTCTGGAGGCCTGCATGAAGCTCACAAGACCACACGGTCCATGGGAAACTTTCACCAAGCGCACGAAGGTCGGGAAGAAGAGGCCTGCTAGTGGCATTCTGCTTCGGCTGTTGGAAGCCCTTGTGGGTGAAGTGGTCCATTGCAGTGCTACCATACTGGCGCACATGCTGCGACAGAGGGCAAGGGGCAAGTGGCTTGTAACCGAGCAGTCTTGGAAGAACCTGGTATGGCGGGTATGGAGCATCGGCCTGGGGCGGGGAAGACGGGCAGCACGGGCCTGCGCAAGGCCAAAAGAGGAGCCAAGGTTGCACAAGGGACAGGCACACATCCCAGTTCGACGGCCGGGCCTGCCACCACTCCGGCGGCACAAGCGGAAAGAGAAGTGCATGTTTATGCACACCTGCTGAACTTTGGCTGGGAGACAGGCGAAGGCTCGCCTTGAGGCAGAGAGCAAAACGAATTCGTGGAACCAACTCATAGAAAAGGAGCCCTGAACCGCGATGTGCGCGGATAGGCCTGTGTGCTGGGGCGACATTGCGCCACTGCCGACGTGGTCTGCGAGACCAGTTGCAAGCAAAGCAATGCCACTGGTGACCACAGCCGAAATCAAACTGAACAGAAGGCCTGCGGGACACATGATCACATGAAGTCATGGCAGGAGGGCCAAGAAGCATGCAAGCACAAAGGCTTCCCCGGCATGCCGGTGTTGGCGGAACAAGTGAATGAAAACCATTCGCCCCGGAGGATGAGGGCCTGGGACGCAAGGGCCTCGGCCTGCACAAAGGTCCAGCAGGGGCACCACGCATCCCCTGGCCCTCGGGCCGCTGTATATGTAACAGCTCATTCTCAGTGCGGCGATGCTTGTTGGAATCATTGCATGCAAGAATGAGATGCTTCAGTTCGGCCATGCCAGCGGACATCTGCTGTTCTTGTTGCTGCTGCGCCTGTCTCAGTCCTTCGAGGTTGACCTGGAATTGCTGCTGCAGGCCTGCACCCAGAGTCTGCATATCAGCCTTCACAGCCTGAATGTCGTGTGCAATCTGTTGGCGATCTTGTAGGCGCTCCTGGGCTGCAGCAGTCTGCCCATCACGCAGCTCCTGCAGATTCTGTTCCAGCTCTGCAAGGCGTGCTTCCGTGCTGTGGACCCGTTGGGCGATTTGGTCATTGGCCGGTGTTGGGACCACTGATGAGCGTGGCGCACGGGTTTGGGCACCAGATTCTTGCCGAGTGCGGTAAGCACTCCATGGATCACTCTCCAGCCATGGGTCGGCACCGTCACTTAGCAAAACACCAGTAGAGGGACCAGCTCGGGGGAGTGGCCCGCCCGCCTGAATGACGGGTTGCTGAATCGTGCGCCCTTTAACCTCGGTGATCAAGATCGGGGTCTGGTTGAAATGGGCAGCATGCGCTGGTGGGAAGTTAGCCGCCCCCAGCAGCCAGAACTCTGGCCCCAAGGTTTTCATGACACGGACTGTCCAAGGTAGCTGACGGGCCCAACTCGCGACATCAGCAGAAGCAACAGTAGCGGGGAAAGGGCCGGCTTTGAACATGTGGCGCACCTGAACAGTGATGGGGACATCTTGTCCTGGGCGAAGTTGCTTGTAGGTCCTATCGAAAGCAGCTGTGGGGACGCGGACCCCGTAACGATTGCGGGCACGAACCAGGCCGTGCTGCTCTGCAAGCAAGGAAACCTGTTTCTCGACATCCTGCCTGGGCCCCGGCACCCACACAACTGACCAGCCCGGGAGCAGCTGTCTGTCCCACGTCCGTGGCACAACGAAAACATGGTTGAAGCCACTTTGCTGCAGAAGGAGTCGCAACAGAGGATCAGGTACCTTGGCATTGAAGGAGCACTGGTCACAGAGGTGCGGTTGGCTCGGCCGGCCCCCTGCTTTGAAAGAGCGGCCCCATGGGCTACTCAGAGCCTGGCGAACCCCTTTTGCCTGGAAAGCCTCATTGGCTGCACGGACGGGCGCCTTCGTGACATCCTGCCACGCCGTTGCTGTGAAGTCCTCCTGGTACATGGAGAAGGTGCAGCAGGTGGTGCCCTGTACAGTCACTTCCGACCCGTGCGGCACATGAGGCGAGATATCCGTTTCACCCAAGTTGTGGAAGCACGCCGCTATCAGGTGATGCTGTCCGCTCTCCTTGTGTGTCACATGAGCACTTACACGACCACTGCAACTGTCCGGGTCAGGACATTCATGGCCTGGAATGACTACGCAGAGTGCCTCGGACTCAATGTTGCGGAGGAGATCCAAGTCAATGCTGCTCGCCTCTGCGGCATCCAACAGGAGGACCCCGGTGCAATTTGGTGTGGCACTGTCCAAAATCGGGACAGGCTGCTCGTCCATGCCAACCCAGGTGTCTGTATCCAGACGAAAATCAGCAGCTTTGACAACGCTGGGGCGCTCGAGCCTGCGTCGGCGGACAGCCTTCTGAAGCCTCTTGGCGGCTCGCTCGGTACGGTTGTCACCCTCTGGCACCGCCACTCCGACTGTGGCAGCAGAAGCTTGCAGGGCCTTCCATTGCTCAGCAGTGTCACTTGAAGAGAGGGCCTTGAGGCAGGCAACCGTGCCTAGCTTGGTCACAAGGTTGTCCACAACCACCGTAGCAGAGCTCAGGTCGATGCCTCTGTCTAACAGAAGGGCCGCAACACGGGTCTTGGCAAGCTGCTGGTTCTCGTCTTTAACTCCGCCGCCCACGAGGGCCGGGTGAACTGTGAGAAGCAAATGGCCTGTCCGTCGCAGGACACACGATTTATTGCACTCGGCCACGGCATCAAGATCACACCCCTCAGCATGGGGGAAAGGCCCCGAAAAAACGTGGTGCGCGGCAGGGATTGCGCAAGCCTGGGATGCCTCTGTCCACCAGGACGATACCTTTTGCAAAGTAAGAGAGCCCGGCAGCTCCCCAAGCCAGATTTGGCGGGCAACGACTTGGACCTCAACCTTGCGACCTTTGCCGGCGGGGCACTCAAAGGCAGCCTGCTCAAGTTTGGCGACGAAGAGCCGAAGCCGCAACCGCTCATGTATCTGGTCGCCCGGCAAATGCGTCCGGGTGGAGTCAACGCACAGGGCGAGAACTGGCATCTCGGAATAGACCTGGGTAACCCAGCCGAGTGCATCCAACAGGTGGAGTGTAACACCCACCCAAAGATCAACAGCAACAGAAGAGGCACCATGAAGCACCAGGTGGCAAGCTTGGCGCCGCATGCTGGTAGCGGCAACATTTAGCACAAAAAGCTTCAGACCGCTAGTGGGGACTTGCTGGGCATGAGGGCAGCTGCATTGCTGCATGGTCCAGCAATCCGGATCAACATCGATCGACCACCGCATGTTCAAGGGCACACCTTGCTGGTGCAGTATGTAGCACGCCTGAGACCAACCAGCGAATCCTCCACTGAAAACCTCGGCAACCTGGAGAAGCTCACCACAACACCAAGGAACAGTGGAAACCACAGTCGAATCAAGACCTGTGCAATTCAAGATGACCTCGTGACCCTGCTGTCGCACCGTTTCCTGAAGAATCCTGAGTGGGCCGGAGCAACTCCTAGTATGCTGCCAATCTGCCGGGCGGAGCTGCAAAAGCACCTTAGCACCCATCACAGTGCCATTCTCGCCTGTCCGCTGGATTCTAGCTCGTACCAAGACCTTGTCAGGTACAAACATTGGGTCTCCATACGGCTCGGCCACCGTGTAGATTGTGGCACCAACCGGAAGAAACGAGACCTCCCTGCAAACCTGACTCAAGCGGCGCCACTCGAAGGAATCCAGCAGCTGAGAACAGCTATCCCCTGGGGAAAGCGTCATGGCCCGATCGGTACCCAACTAAGTTGGGCTACGGCTTCGCCTCGTGTAGGCTCGGGCCCAGAAGCTAGTAATCCCTAAACCCTATTGCCGTAGTATTATAGCCTGAACCGCAACAAGAGACCTACTCAATTGAGTTGATTTAGCGGCCTCGTGGTCGGTGATGTAGTCATGCCAGGCATGCTGCATCTCGCCCTGCAAGGAAAGGTAAGGGTTTAGCGTCTAGGGGTCTAGGTCCAGGCATTTTTCTGGTGTCTTCAAAGTAGGTGTTCTCACTATATAAGAAAGGGTGTGGGGGTATGCATATTTGCTAGGTCGTCTTCGTAAGTGTGGTGTTTGGTCACAGTTTCCTCTGGGTCGTCTTCCTAAGCATGGTGTTGGGTGCCGACCCTCTCCCAACCCTTCCCAACCCTCTCCCCCTCCTCCCAACCCACTCCCAACCTCCCAAACCCCCAAACCTCCTCCCAACCCACTCCCAACCTCCTCCCAGCCCTCCTAACCTCCTCCCAACCCACTCCCAACCTCCTCCCAACTCCCCAACCTCCTCCCAACCCACTCCCAACCTCCTCCCAACCCACTCCCAACCTCTTCCCAACCCACTCCCAACCTCCTCCCAACCCACTCCCAACCTAACCCACTCCCAACTCCTCCCAACCCACTCCCAAACCTCCTCCAACCCACTCCCAACCCCTCCCACCACTCCCAACCCACCCCCAACCTCCTCTCCCACCCAACCCATCCCCCAACCCACCTCCTCCCAACCCACTCCCAACCTCCTCCCAACCCACTCCCCAACCCACTCCCAACCTCCTCCCAACCCACTCCCAACCTCCTCCCAACCCACTCCCAACCTCCTCCCAACCCACTCCCAACCTCCTCCCAACCCACCCCCAACCTCCTCCCAACCTCCTCCCAACCCACTCCCAACCTCCTCCCAACCCACTCCCAACCTCCTCCCAACCCACTCCCAACCTCCTCCCAACCCACTCTCCCAAACCCACTCCCAACCTCCTCCTCCCAACCCACTCCCAACCTCCTCCCAACCCACTCCCAACCTCCTCCCAACCCAACTCCCAACCTCCTCCCAACCCCAACTCCCAACCTCCTCCCAACCCACTCCCAACCTCCTCCCAACCCAACCTCCTCCCAACCCACTCCCAACCTCCTCCCAACCCACTCCCAACCTCCTCCCAACCCACTCCCAACCTCCCAACCCACTCCCAACCCTCCCAACCCACTCCCAACCTCCTCCCAACCCACTCCCAACCTCCTCCCAACCTACTCACTACCTTCCAGTCCAAGCCAAACACCCTCCAAGACACACCTCAAGCCAAATTCGCTCTGCCTTCTTCCGGATGCAGGTCCGAATTCTATTTGGGCAAGTAGCGGGGTCGTCTTCGGAAGGGCGGTTCGGGTTTCCTTAAGAATCCGGGTCGGCTTCGGGAGGGGCCCAAGTGCCGATTTCAGCAGTTATCTTCTTTAGTTCTCCCAACCCACTCCCCAGCTGCTCCCAACTACATAACTCCCAACCCACTCCCCAAGCTCTCCCCAGCTGCTCCCGAAGCAATCATATCGCGGAGGCATCCTCTTATTTACTGAGAACACCTCCGCCGTAGACACCAGAAATATCCCCTGACTAGGGGTTTAGGTCGGGGTTCGGGATGAGGGTCTGGCTCAGGGTAATACAGCATCCTGGCTAGCTATCAATATGGGTGGTTGTCAAAAATTAAGGTCCCGTTTTGGGTCCACATTATAGTACGGCCCCTATTATTTAGGGTACCCAAAAAGGGACCATAATTGTGACAACTACCCATATGTTAAGTTAAATATATTGCTGCGTAAGGTTCCGAGGTTCCTGAATGTTATCTTGTAATTATACTGTCAAAACATCCCCTGGAACCCTTCTCTCATTGTTCAGGCCTCTATCTTATGGTGGCTCGAGTTCAGATACGGGAGTCACCCCATGGCTTGATAAAGGGTTCCCTACAGTCTGCAAACTTCCGTTAAGAAACCCACTGAAATCTAAACCCTAAACATGCAATTGAGTACAGCTGTCGCATGCAGAAACTTGAGAAACGCTGCATCCATCTATTCATGATAGGGGCTTTTTCGAGGATTTCGGATAGTATGCTGTACTTATCGAAAAGAGTTCCGAGGAATCGCAATGGAAATTCCCGGCCCTAAATTACTTGCAATCCCTTCAATCCTAAACCTGTGACGACAAAATGTCCAATGAGCACAAAAGGCAGTCCTTGTAGCAGGTGATTGGCCGTCGCGGTGCCGTTGGCAGAACCACCTTGCACGAAAATCACATGAGCCCAAACGGTCCAGGTAATGGTGAATTAGAGGGTTTAGGGGTTTAGTGTGAAGGGTCCAAGTAATAGTTAGTGTAGTATGTACTTTTTTCTTCTGGGACCCAGATATCTACTGACGCAGCTACTATGTTGGTGCTTGGACCCTTTCGGGAGTCTGGCACTGTGCAGTTTGTGCTCAAAACATGAAAGGATCTTTGCACCCTCAGGGCGGTAGCTTGGGATCTTCACTCCGGGATGAACTTCTACACAGGTAGCAGTTTTTGTCTACAGGTTCCAACACTGAGTGAGGAGCAAACGTAGTGAATTGCGTCTTAATCGACTCACTCTTGCGACTGCTTGCAACACAAAGACTACGATAGCCGCGTCGCCAGTGCTAGTTTTATCCATTATAGGAATTACGTAGCTTTCAGGGCTGCTTGCCGGTCGCTCGCAACCACAGAGCTGTCTAGATCTTAAGACCTCAGTGTTACTCAAAAAAAGTTCTAAAAGCCCGGCCGTCGAGCCCCGACATAAACAAACAAAAGCACAGTCTTACCGCCTTCAGTCCGGGGAAAGGCTCCAGCTCCTCAAAATCCTGGGCGCTGTGGCTGTTTAGGATTTGGGTTCCGAGTTTAGGATTTACGAGTTGGGGATACACGGGTGTCGAGGTGTTTGTGGATCCCTAGGAGGAAGAGGCTTTCGGGTTTAGGGCAAAAGGCCCCCATTGGGAGCTACAGAGGTGGAGGCAGGCGATGCTGCTTATAATTATAATAAAGGTCGCGGTTCCGGCCCCAATTTACCGACACCATCTGGGTAGTTGTCAAAATTAAGGTCCCTTTCTGGGTACCCTAAAAAATAGGCGCCGCATTGTAATAATAACCCCAAAAAGAGGGACCCCAATTTTGACAACCACCCATCTGTTTCGGATATCGGGGCCTCGTCGTCGTCCTCCTCCTGTTTCTTGGCCTTGCTCGCCTCGGCGAAGATAGGTCGAACCAACAAAAGAATAAACCACAGACACTATAAACTCTAGCCCTAACCCCCCAAACCCTAAACACAGAACCATATAAACCTCAAACCGCGCCCTAAGGCTCAAAATGGCCCAAAAAGCCTTACATAGTATGATCTTTGGGCCCAAAAGCCTTAATATATGCTTCCTTAGAGCCACAGGGGCAAGCTTAAGTAAGGACTTGAGGATTGTGAACCCCCGGTCCGTGGGCTAAGCCTAGCCCAGACCTCCAAAACCACGGCACTCCATACTTCTACAGTGTGAGCCCACTGCAAGCTCATAGGGATCCTTAGAGGTGTAGGGGGAGGGGGGGTAGGGGGCCTTAAGGCCCATAATGAGGACTAATAAGGCCTATTTAAGGAAATATAGTCCCCTACACCCCTCCCCCCTACACCCCTAAGGATCCCTATGATAAGCTCTACCCTAACCCCAAAGAAGAAACCGTCTCAAGGACTTGTGCAAGGGAGCCTGTAGCCCCAAAACCCTACAAAATGGAAGGTTCTGACCCCTTGATTGTAGGCTTTAACCATTGAAACAGTAGGGTACTAACTGGCTCTAACATACTTGGAGGTTCATGGGTAGTTGTAAGTACTGGCATAAGTCCATAATTATGGACTATTTAATATACTTATCATGGCTACCTTGCTCATAAACCCTACTTGTAATTGCCCATGAACCTCCTAGTAACACACACACACACAGACACACACACACACACATACACACATACACACCCACACACACACACGCCCACACCCGCGCGCACGCACACACACACACACACCCACACCCACACCCACACAGACACACAGACACACAGACACACAGACACACAGACACACAGACACACAGACACACAGACACACAGACACACAGACACTCAGACACTCGGACACACACACACACACAACCACAACCACTACCTACCGGGACACAGTCCGTAGGCTCAACGATGCCGAAATCTCCGCAAGACTAAACCCTGTAATAGTAATACTACTTTAATACTACAAAAGATAAGAGTTGTGGACACAATGAGAATGACAGTAAAAATACCACACCAACCCTACGTACATATGCCCCCTAAACACGAATTCCAAGCCGCTTGCAACCCTCAGCCCCTCAAGTCTCTCTGCAGCACGACCACGACAAATGCCTCAAAGCTCAACCCCTCATCCGGGGTTCTTGTCAAGTGGCGCAACCATTAGACAACAAACACTATGTAGCAGGGTCACCTAGAAACTACATGCACTTCCTGAGGAGCTTCAACTAAGCTGCTTAAGAGAAACCAACAACCCCCCACAGCCCCTGAGCCCTAGAACGGCCTTCTTCTTCTTCGCCTGCTTCGGCTTCGGCCGGTAGAAATAATGCGGCTCGGCCAGATAGCTGTAGCCGTCACATGTGAAGCCTCAGAGGGTTGGCCGACACAGATTTTAATTAGGGTTTAGGGTTTAGCGCTTAGGGTTTAGGGTTTAGGGAGGCCGCAGAGATCTAGATGTGTGGTTTTGCACGGTTGTGCCATGGGAAGCCTAAACCCCGAACTTTTCAAAACCCTTGCTTGGACCTTCTATGCAGAACTGATATGCAGCTGGGATGTCAAATCTTAGAGAGCGTATACATCCCAACAAAACCGAAAACCAGAAGTAGGAACCATAACACAAAGACCCGTGCAACAAACGGCACACCATTCATCTTCCTAGTGTGTTCACCCTGCGGAAAACCCAATAAATCGCACTGCTACGCTACGTGCTACATCCCCTCGCTTGGCTTTGAGGTTGAGGACCCAATCTCTCCAACATCCCTTAGTTAAGGAATGTACCATAAATCATATTATCATGCCGCACCCTAGATGATCGTGGTATACCCTCATAGAAAATAAGTTAAATAGTTCTAAATAATAACAATAATAATGATAACAATAATGATAATGGTGATAATAATAATAATGATAATAGTAATAATAGTAATAATAATACTAAAAATAATAGTAATAACAATAATAATAATTAATAATAATAATAATATTAGTAATAATAATAATAGTATTATTTAATAATAATAATAATTAATAATAATAATAATAATAATAATAATAATAATAATATATATATATATATATATATATATATATATATATATGGTGCCGCGTCGCCGCGTCGCAGGCCCCCCCCCCCCCCACCCCCATGGTATGCCCCCCCCCCCGAAGCCAGGCGTCTCGTCCAATCAAACAGTCACACGTCATCCGCGTAACTCCCCCCCCAAGCCAGGCCTCGCCTCTCGCCTTGGCAATCGGGGGTGGGTGCGGGAGGGATAACCCACAATAGTGGAACCACAAGACGGCGAACCACAGGGGCGGGGTGGGGAAGGATAATCAACACAGGGAACCACCGGGCCCCTTCCCTTCCCCTCTCTTCGAGCACAAATGAGAATGTTGTGCGCAATGATGTTGATGTGCTAGTCCCAGTGTGGCTATTGGTGGTACCTTTGCTCTTATGTTGCTCTGGGCTTCGGCACCGCATGTTCATCGCTTTATCTAGTTGAAAACCGTGCTTGGCTTGTGATGTTCTTGCGAAAACCATATCGACCGTTGTCATTCCAAGCCAAGTTTCGGTTGGGTTCGCTACAAGTAAGCTTGAGCACGTCTTTGAATGGTTTTCATTCGGGACTTTTGAGCAAGGGACCTGATGAGAGTGCGGATGGGGATCATGAGCACCATCTTCGTCATTATCATCACCATCATTTTCATCACTATCATTGGCTTTGGAGCTCAGGGCAGGTCGGAGTTCAATAGAACTGTATTACATCCTACGGTCCAAACCCTTAGCAACCGGACGCATAGCCATGGACGGGGGTGCAGCCGACCGCAACCACAGGGGGGAGGGGCAGGGGGGAACCCACACCACAGGGAACCACAGGGGGGAAGGGGGGGATACCATGGGGTGGGGGGGGGAGGGGGGGTCTAGCAGCGCTGCACCATATATATATATATATACATATACATATATATATATATACATATACATATATATATATATATATGCAGTACCCATACGTTTGGATGTTTAGTCAGTACATTTGGGTAGGTTAAGAACGATACGGTTTCAGGTTGATTCAGTAAACTCTGCTAAGCAAAATAAGCCAACTCTGTACAGCGTCTTGCTTCTTGAGGTCCCTGTGGAAGTTGGAAACTTGGCCTTCAAGAGCATACCTGCAGCCCAAACCTTACAAAACAGGGTTTAGGGTCTTCTTAAGGTCGGAGGGCCACTTGATTAGTCTTGGGTTTACGATACCCAGTGCAGGAAGCCATCAGTGCAGACAAGTGAGCCATGCAGATACACCAAAGACACGGTGTGGCCTCACGTTGCACGCAGGGGGCTCGGAATGCAAATTCGATCGTTACAGTACAGTGTGCCGGCAAATCAGAACCACTAACGGAGGCAATATCGCCGGGCAATCTTGGTCATCTTGCTCTGCGCATTCGTGGGCATGTTCATTCCCGGGGGGGGAGTGGCCTGGTAATCTTGGTCATCTGGGTAATCTTGCATTAGCAAGACGACCACGATTACTGGTCCTCCCCCCGCCCCCGAATTGTGCAAGTGGTGCCAAATTACCAAGATTACCGAGACTGCCCAACCGAATCCCCCCGAAAACAAAAGCAAGCCTACCAAGATTACAATATTAGCAAGGTTACCAAGATTGTGGAACAAGTGGCGGCTCAAAAATGCCGGCTACAAGATTTACAATACAGTGTATCATATGCCACAATATTCTGGCTCGGCAGAGGGTTTAGCATGGGTGGTGCAACGGACGAACGGTGCTGTTTTTCAAGGCGGTGTCTGCCTGGCGGGTGCAACCTAGACCCCTTCGGGTTTTTGGCCTGTTGTTTCGGGGTGCATGATCTAGGATCCAATTTTATTTCGGAGTTTAGAACGAGAGGAGTGAATCTTGAAGCACAGCAATCTGGAACTCAGTAGCTTTGAAGAGGCGAAACCCTCCAACCTTCAGGAAGCATGCCTTGAACACTCTGAAACCGAACAAGCACCTGCTTGAGCCAAGCATACAGAGAGAGCTCGCTCTAATTAATGAATAATTAAAGCACGATCTAATGGAATGGCAGCAGCATCGACAGTCTAGCCCCTTGTCCACAACCCCTAACCCCAGTGCAGGGCTAGACCACGTGAGGACTTCATCTCCACAAAATGCGCAACCCTCACTCCCTAAGCCTACCTATAGCCTCCATTGTAGTTCCCTTTTTGGTTAACCAAAATCTCTACTATAGGGTCCTAGCCACAAAACTGGTAAACCGAAAAAGGGAACTACGATGGAAACTATAGGTAACTTCTAAACCCAGATAAGCCCTAATAAGACCCGTAGACACCCTAGATCGATATACGGCTGATGATACAAAATCTGCATGACCCATAATAAGGAGAATACATGCCATAATTCCCCTAGTTTAAGGTCCTTAAGGTAATGCAGGATTTCTATCATCAACCGTAGTACCCCAAAGCCATGGCAACCCTTGGTCTGAAACAAATATTTCTAAACCGAGCACGGCACCAGAGCCGTGCGGGTACATGGTCTGGACCTCGCTTGCCAGATCGACCCAGCCCCTGGCGAGATGTGTTGGGTTTCAGGGTGTCATACAGTGGCCCTTACGATTAGAATAAGGTTTTTTGGCGTATGTTGAGCCACTTCTCAGGCATTTAGACGCTTTGCAGGGTTTGGGGCTTAGGGTTTGGCCGAGAGCAAACAGACCACTCTCTGCATCTGATAGCCCAAGACTTTACAGGGCAAATAATTAGGCGGGAAGTAGGAAGGGAAAGGGAGATGCATTTCTGGTATAACCTCGGGGTTCTGCCGAATTCATCGTATATACACTTCCCCTAATACGAACCTCCGGTACATGACCAGTCATCATGATGTTCCTATACGGCCTTTACCCATGTAATTACCGTATTGTGTCCTTTTGAAACTGAGAGGCGCTGTAGAACCGTCAGATAACCCAGCTATCCAACCAAACTCTTCAAACCCTAAACCCCAAAGCCCCTAAACCCCAAACCCTAAACTCCCAAAACCCCAAATCCCCAAACCCAAACGTTGAACCTAAAACCCTAAACCCTAAACAATAAACAGGGAGCCCCGTACCCCAAAACCCCTCCGTGGCCTCTGGCAACAAACCTTCAGCGATCGCTTCTCGGCGTTCTCGCCGCTGGGGGGCGCCCAGGAATCGAAGAAGAAGCCACAAGGTGCTGCCTCCAGCTTAGGGTTTTGGGGGTTTTGGGTTTAGGGTTGCGGGTTTAGGGTTTCTTTATTCAGGGGCCTCAAAAGGTGGGATGAAGGTAGGTAGGATGAAGGATCCCTTACATAGCGGCTCTTAGTTGGGGGGGGCATCCCACCTGTCTTTAGGGCGGTTCAGGGGAAAATTCTTCAGCTGGTGGATATCCCCAAGCCCTAAAGCGATGGCACCGTGCTTTATAGTCGAAGCCTTGACTCCGTTCGAAATGGTAATATAGTGGCCTTAATAATTAGAATACGGTGTTGGGGGCCCATTATGCTATGATCTTACTCAGGAACCCCCAAAATAGTAGAGGTAATGATTAAGCCCCCTACACTATTGCCCCTCTGCTGTCAGCATGTAGGAAGTGCCTGCACCGCCGCGAGCATCCGCTGCGCGAACTCACTGTACAACCTCGAACTTGATTGGGGCGTGTTTCAAGGGCTCACTTCCCAAAGGCTCCATGTACCTTTATAGTAGACACACCTATATAGGTACTTTAAGGCCTAAGTATATACTGTATGGGCACATGGAGCCTTAGGGTTAAAGTGGGCTCAGAGTACTGATTTGCGGTTTGGGGCTTAAGAACTGTGGTTGCCGAAAGTGTTTGAACCCAGCTTGGGGGCTAAAGGGTCTATGGACCCCGTATAGCACTACCGATGGTCTCGATTGCACGCCTATTTTAGGAATAGGGGCTGTAAGAAAACCCAAGGGAACCAAAGCAATGAGTAAATATGCATACCATAGTTAACCATACACCCAAAACCCCGAAACACTAACGCCCCAGAAACTAAAACCCTCATAACACTGAATTTCAAAACCACTCTGCTAGCCGGGAGGCTCCGTCTCATTCACATCCTTTAGCTTGCAAGAACCTTCGCTCGGTCTTACTGGTGCCTGCTTTCGGTAAGGGTTGAGGGTTACAGGATTTTGGGTTTAGGATTTGCCAGGACCTCGAGTGCCCAACAGGAGAGCCCTACGGTCCTTAATAGTGGGTACCCAGACCTTCCAAAATCCCTTAATTAAGGAGTATACCTTAAATTATAACAGGATCCCAAATATGAATTAAGGTATATTCCTTAAGTAAGGGATTTTGGAAGGTCTGGGTATTTCGGGTTGAGGGTCGACGTAGGGTCAGCGGTTCAGGATTTGGGGAATCTGGCGGCCATGGTTCTTAGATATAGGGCGCAAGGTGCGAGTAATTATGGCCTCCTTCGGGAATCGGGTTTGGGTGTCGTAATCAACGGCCGTACAATTAGCGTTGCGTTTTGGGGCTCATACTCAGACCTTAGTAGACCTATAACGATAAGGAACCCAAGGAAACCATTGGCAACGTTTGAGGCTTCTATGTTGCTTTGGGGCTGCGGTTTGTAGTGTCGCACAGGTGAGCTGAACGCAAAGTGGCTGCACCTAGGAATGAGAAGCCAAGACCAAGCCAAGCAACAACGAGCCAACAAGGCACGAACACCTGTCCTGCTGCAGCTACAACGTGTTGACTTGCATGTTGTGCGAATCCGCGGGGCATTGTGATCCCTGTGATTGCGACTTGCCTCTTGCAAACCAGGCATTTTTGTGGGAAGAGCCCGCACTGTGTTGCTGCTGTTCCGGAGCGACTTTCTTTGCATTTTTGGATGCTTGCCAAGTCCTGTCCGAAGTTCACTCGGCCGTCGCGGTGGGCTTTCGTGACGTCTACTTTCAGTGAGCATAGACCATTTCCATTTTCAACTCATGCACCCCCCTAGCACCCAAATCATAACAACCTATACTTCGACCCTAACTCCACCCAAGACCCGTAGGTAGAACCCTATGTAGGAATAGCTCACCTGAAGACCCAAAATCATAACAACCTATATCTCAACCCTAACCTCACCAAAAAAAACATAGTAAGATCCATATGATAGAACCCATCTATGGAACTACTCACAACCCCATAGAAAACCCCCCAACCTCAACTCCATACACCAATACCTCCATAGAAAAGCTATATTCCACAACCCTCAAACCCCTAACCCTTGAAAATGGAAATTGTCATCTCTAACAAAATATCTATAATAGGAATAAGGTCTAAGAACAAGGTTGGAATACGAAACAAGAAAAACATCACTTCAACAAATTATACTATTATTGGTTTATTATTTAAGCTTGACTAGTTCGCTGTATTCTTCTTCAATGTCCCGAATGCTTTTATTCAACCACGTTACTCCATTCTTTGGTTTCACATCTAAATATTTAGTGACTCCGCTTCCGCGGTTCTGACAAAGTATTTCAATATGTTCAATTAGATCCGAATATTGTTTAATTAACTTTGTACCTTCTGAAGTTTACCTTCAAAAAAGAGATATATCGCACCTAACATGCAAGACATCTTCTTGATAAAAAACACATCCGTAAAAATTAAGCAACTTGCATACCTCCGTATTTTTGAAGGAATCTATTTCATTTGTTTTCATTTCATATATCTTATTGATATACTTCGCTTGTATTTCATACCTGTTTAAATTCGTATAACCCATTTTCTTCTTAATCTATATATATATATATGTATGTATATATATAGGTGTTACTTCTTTAAGTGCTTTTTCTTCAGAATTTCTTTTCTGAAGATTTATCGGTAACTAACTTACAAAAGGAAGAAGGTTTAGGAGTAAGGTAGGAGTAAGACGCAACAATAACCTTACTCTGATGAAATAATATCATCATTGTTTAAGGCATAAACTTCCAAGAACTCACACCATCCCAGCTTGTTCGAAGCTGTCGTTCCATTATATAATGCAGTTCATTTTGTTCAAAGTTGGCTTTACCTTTTCATTAACTTGATAAGTTAAGACCCACAAAGCAAATGCGTTATATTCCATTGATTGGATGCCGCCTATTGTATCAAGTTCATCACCATTAGTATTTTTTACTAGTTCAAAGTGATCAATATTTTCATAAATTTCTTTCATGTAGCCATGATTAGAATACCCATATGCAGAGTTCATCGCCAACTAATAAAGCTTAAACTCCGTATCGCCCATATGCTTACATTTCTCAGCTTTACATAAAATTTTGCCAGTGATAAACTCATAAGTTGGATACGGGTTTTCCTTCACGAATGCATTAATTGTCTTCACAACGTTTTCGTACATTTTCATCTTAATATGTATGTGTTCTTTTGTTTTACATGTTTTTGTTTTAAAAACCTGGTTCTTTTTTCCGGGATACTACTCTAATGAGTTGAATTCCTGAATTAAATCATTAGAACATTGCATGGGGACTATCGGGGTTTTCTTCTCTTTCTTCCAAAAGCACGAAACAAACTAATTAGACCAGTACCACATTCTGTTGATGCGCTTATGGAAGCACACGGGGCACTGGCAAGGGGGCACTGTCATAACATAATGAAGCTACACCTTTAGGTTATTTCAGTAATTCTTCTAACTGATAAAACGCAAACAAAAATTTAAATCGTTTCTTACAAATCCTCATAATGGTGGTATTCCTCTAATATTCATACAAAATAGCATTTAATCTAGCATTGCATTTTCTTATGTTCCTTCGTTCTTCTAACCAAGCGTTATTCTTCTCTTCCTCTTTTTCTTCTGAAACAAACACCCCATATTTACATATGTTATACAAGTTCCTTACTAACTTTTAGTTCCAAGTCAGTTAGTTCAAATTCCAACCTTTCTACGTCCTTTTTTAGAACTTCAACGTCTGTTTCAGTTCCTTCTAGTCTTTGTTCGCATTCCTCAGGGGTAATTCTATTTCGTCCCCATCCATTATCACATATTTCAACGCTTCCGACTTGACCGTCAGTCTTGAATATCCCGTTTTCATAGGGAGATACATGACGCCCAGCAGAACCAAATTTCAAACTTCGTCTGTCTTCTATAACATTTGTTGTAACTATGCTGTTTTCCTTTGTTGTTTGAGTTTCCTTGTGGTATGATTGTCTTTTACATCTACAAAGGATACAACATATACCACTAGCGTTTATGAAAAACACCTTTTTCTTGTCATTACTCGTTATATCTCTCATGTATATAACCTAGATCTCTTTTTATTCCGCATGTAAATAAAGACTGCCTTCGCCAATTCCAAAAGACTATGGCAACATCTACGGTCTTTAGGAAGGGCGATTATTTGCTCAATGGTCTCTATTTCGTTGGTTACTTCAACACATTCAGCATATGCTTTTTTTACGTTCTTCCATATACTTTTACTGATAAACTAGAACTATTCATTATTAAGAATGATGATTACACCTATAGTCAAACCAGTCAATGTTTCAGAAAATGATTTCAACCAATCTAAATACGATGTAGCGCCTAGATTACCCCTTTCTCGAATAATAACAGGCCCTAGCGGTTCAGGAAAGGGAATACTACTTCAGTCAATGATATTGGGTATTTATAGAAACGTCTTTGAACGCGTTTATGTATGGTCTCCTTCAATTCCAGTCGAAAGTTACTGGACGCCCGTTAAGAAATACATACAGGAGGAACTGAAGGTGGATATAGAACGGAAAAATGCTTCTTTGATGAATACGTCCCAGAAGAACTAGAAAGAGTGATAAAGCAACAACATAAGGTAATCGAAAATCAGAAGAAGAACGACCACAAGAACTTATTTTCAATCTTAATTGTTGTTGATGGTTTCGGAGAAAGTCAGGCATTTTCAAGAAATTCACCTTTGTTAAGTCAGTTAGACGTTCGAGGCAGGCACAACGCAATAAATATTATCACGGCAACGCAGAAATCCAAATTCAACGCCTTAAGTCCCATTATTCGTGTTAATAGTCGTCAGCTGTTTTTCTTCAGGTTAAGGAACTACATTGAGATTGAAACGATGGTGGAGGAAGTGAGCGCCGTGTTGGTTAAGAAGTCGGCCGTGGCAGACACTAAAAACCCTAGCAACTACTGTTAGAAGTGTATAATTTCGCAACGGAAGAACCATACGTTTTTTTTGATTAGTTTAATGAAAGTGATGTGAATGGTATGCTTTATAAGCACGCTGATGCTAAGTTAGTGATTGATTGATAATTATAAACTAGGAAGTTAATATTAATCAATCTAAATCAGTGAACAACTACATAAGTTTATTGCTGGCAGTTTATAACATGTGTTATTTCTCTTCGTTTCTGAGTTCTCTACTCTTTCAATAACATCTTTTAAGGTGTCAAAGAATAACATATCTGTTCTTGTTTTTCATTATTATCTAATTCTTTTATTTGTTTCATATTTTCAGTAGCGGTAGATTTAGATGACTTACAACCCGTTGATATACAATAACTTGTATTATTGGCCTTTTCCTTCTCCATTTTCATCGCCTTTACCATTGCCTTTCAATTTCGTAATCTCACCTTTCAGATGTGTAATTTCTTTCATCATTTCTTGTACGGCACTCCATAATACGACGTTCATTTTATATAATTAAGTCGTAAAAATCATCATCACTATCTTTCATAACCATCTTAGACTAATGTTTAGGCATCTTGAATTAGGTATATCTTGCGCTATAAATCCTATTTCTCTTTCTTCTCTACCTTTAACATTAAATCCTTTCGGTTTAATGTATTTAACTATATCATATCAAGTATGGCTATTAACTTCTTTAATACTTTCGTTTAGTCGTTCGTCTAATGTTTCTGTAGCAGTTCCACTTACACATAACCCCGTGCTCGAGATTTCACATACAGTGGCTCCATTTATTCATTAAAATATTATTTGTCTGCAGCTGGATTATCTAGTTTTACGCGCTCGCTCGTTGAACCTGTTGAATGTGTGATATCTAGATGCCCTACTAAATTAACACTTGCTTCACTTACTGATACTTCAGGTGTGCTTCCTATTGTTCCGATGATAAAATTAATCGCTCTCTCAGTGTCTCCATTTCTCAAATCTAAATCAAATCACTACCGTTTAATGCTTCTTTAATGCCTGATGAATGTTGAAATGATATTTCTCCACAGACATTTAAATTTGCTTCCGCTGTTTTATTGCCAAGACTATTACAGGTTAAATTATTTGTATCTGGTCTGTTGAATGATATTCCGTTAGTGTCAGTTAAGTGTAATGCAATTGTTCCCGTTGTTGGGTCAGTTGCTCTGTTTGTCTGAAATGAAAATTTATTTCGTCATTTGTTATTAATTTTAATGAATTTTTGGCGTCTGCTCTTCTATATATTTTGCTATTATTCCATATTAAGATTTCATTATCAAAAAGTCGTAGCACCGTTAAACCTTACAGTGGAACTAAAATTAGAATTGCCTCCATGAGCATTAAGAACATCTACAACTGCATTAGCTCCTGTCCCTAACTTATTACATACAGCATTAGAAGTATTCACATGCAAAAACAACTGTTGTGATGAGTCATTGGTAATATAAGCAATTGCTACAACATGACTAGCGTCTGTTGTTGCTTTGAAATTTGTTAGTCCTGAAATGTTAGAAATATGGAGATTATCAGTTTCATAATATCCATTATCTTTAAAAATATGTCGGTTTAAATAATGTTGTTCCACCCATTGTAATATTGCATTCTATAAATGTATTTGTGTCAGTCTCGTCATTAGTTCGGTTAATTAACCTTATAGCGCTCGCGGTTTCATTTATTGATACATCCATTGACATGTTAGCTTTTGTAACATTACTATATATTTCAATGCTTGTATTAGAGTTTGTTAACTCAACATTCCCCTTTGCTGTTAAATTGCCTGTTAATTCGATTTCACTTCCTATTGTTAAATTGGTTGCAACATTTACATTATTTACATCTGAATCCTTATTCATACTAATGTTTCCTGATGGGTTTAAGTTTAAATCCACGACACTGTCATTGCTTGTAGCATTTGATATAATTGTACTTCCTTGTATAAAGCTATCTAGATTGTAGCATTTTAAATACACTAATAATTTTATCTCCTCCTCCTGTTTGATTACTAAACAATAGAACACTGGTTGGTGCTACATTAACTGTTTCGTTCATTTAATGTTAATCCACTATGAATAATAGTAGGGGCGCTACATTCAATAATCGGAAATGTAGAAAACCTATCAGCAAAATCTGATCTAGGAACTCTTAAACCTAATAAATTATCAATCTGTGTATCAGTATATCCACCGCCACCGCCCGCACTTGCTACTAATGTATCTACCTCACCTTCATTACAAAAAAATGTTGCTAAAACAATGGTATTTTGAAAATTAGCGGATAAATTTGTATCAAACAATCGTAGTGTCCTTCTCGGTGCGAAATACCCATGTTCTAACTATGTCTTCTATATAATTAGTGGTTTTACATGTAAAGTTATCGGATATAAACTGTCTGATTAAATTATCCGCGGTGGTGATTTGTGCTATTTTACAGTCTTCGTGAAACTTAATAAGATTTTGCATTTTTGCTTTGGCACCTTGTTAGAGGCGATTTTTGTACTTGTCGTAGGTTGTTTGTGGTGCTCTCGTGTTACGCTTAATATTTTTGCTCATATAACCATACAATTACAATATAAATTAAACTCTATGTTTAAATACGGTTTCTAAAGACTTTTTGCTATTTCTAGAAACCCATATCTAAAGATAAAATATTACTATATGGTAATATGAGTAATTTTAAAGTCCCGAGGTTACGACAATGGATGAGACTAAACAACAACTTGCATTGTACCAGAGGCTTTATTATAGTAAAAAGAAAGAAGACGAGCAGTTTATGCAGAAGAAGCGTGAAGCAAGTTTAATAAAAGGCACGCCCACAAGAAGAGAGTTAAGGAATATGTAGAATAAAACAAATTAAGCCAAGAAGATTTGACACCAACGCAACTTAAATAAATCATTGCTGATAAAAAACCTAGCGGAAAGACGCGCGGAGCTCCCAAATACGATATGAATGAATACAAGAAAACTATGCCTAATGCCCTTTAATTAACATGATGATTCAATTAAGTATATGGAATCACTATTTTTGTTATAACTTATTTATATGAGCGAGAAGCAGAAAATCATTGATCTATATTTCGATAGAGCGGGGTTTGGCAGTATATCCAGAACACTAGCTGAAGCACGAGAAAAAGACAAAACAATAACAATGGGCGACATTAACGAGTTCGTGAGAAAACAACGTTGAACAAAAACGAAAGCCCATAGAACGAGGGCACACCCAAATTTCAGCGAAAGGGCCATGAGAGCTTTCAAAGATATGTTGTATAAGCAAGTTGAAGCGGATGAACAAGGGAAAACGGAAAACATCCAATGGCGAAATTACATATTACAAATATTCTTAACCTACTGCAATAAACAAATGAAACACTCAGCTACCGGATTTACGCCAGAAGATGCCCGCAAACCCAGTAATCAATTGAAGGTGAGAATAAGTTTAACATTAAAGGGAAAGAAGAACCGCGTTTATCCTGAACTAGAATAACTAGAAGTAGCGGACGACGTTAAGATATTTAGGAAAAGAAAACCGAATCAAAAAGACAGGGTAGGAAATTACAGCCAAAATGTTTATACAATAGAAAATATTGAAAACAAATTAGGAGGCAGTTTTTTAGATTTGAACTACTGAAGGTTTGAGGGCAGGCAATTTCTATTTTATTCACGATCAGCGGTCTCCAAAGCAGACAAGCTGACTATCTGTCCCCTCTGCGCAGCACAAGTATGACAATGACCCACTAAACTGGTCCCAAATCTGCTGGGACGTCACACTGACCATGATAATTGTTTCCAAAGCAGACGAGCTGACCATCTGTCCGCATGGCACAAGTATGTTGAATGCCTGCTGAGACTGCCGAAACTGGTCCCAAATCTGCTGGGACGTCACACTGACCATGCCTATTGAGTCCAAAGCAGACGAGCTGACCATCTGTCCGCACGGCGCAAGTATGAGACTGGCCTGTTGAGACTGCCAAAACTGGTCCCAAATCTGCTGGGACGTCACACTGACCAGCACTATTGTATCCAAAGCAGACGAGCTGACCATCTGTCCGCATGGCACAAGTATGAGAATTGCCTGCTGAGACTGCCAAAACTGTTCCCAGATCTGCTGGGACGTCACACTGACCATGATAATTGTATCCAAAGCAGACGAGCTGACAATCTGTCCGCATGGCACAAGTATGTTGAGAATTGCCTGCTGAGACTGCCGAAACTGGCCCCAAATCTGCTGGGACGTCACACTGACCATACCTATTGAATCCAAAGCAGACGAGCTGACCATCTGTCCGCACGGCGCAAGTATGAGAATTGCCTGCTGCGACTGCCAAAACTGGTCCCAAATCTGCTGGGACGTCACACTGACCATCACCCTTGTATCCAAAGCAGACGAGCTGACCATCTGTCCGCACGGCACAAGTATGAAAAGTGCCTGCTGAGACTGCCCAAACTGGTCCCAAATCTGCTGGGACGTCACACTGCCCGTCGCCATTGTCTCCAAAGCAAACGAGCTGACCATCTGACCGCACTACGCAAGTTTGAGAATTTGCGGAAAAGCGTGCCAAAACCGGTGCCAAATCTGCTGGGACGTCAAACTGCCCATCCCTGTTGTATCCAAAGCAGACGAGCTGACAATCTGCCCGCATTACGCAAGTATGAAGAGCTGAGGCTGCCGAAACTGGTCCGATATCTGCTCGCAAACTGCGCTGCGCATGTCCGCCGAATACACTCTTCCTCACCACACAACCGCTGGAAACTCGAACATCTCCGGAACGTGGTGAGAATGCGCAAGTCCGAGTCCGTCTGTTCATGTTGCTTGGCCCCACGAAACGTGAGGAGCCAGGACGGACCGCAAGAAAAGACTGGAACGGCGCCCTTTGTGCCCAAAAGAACCAGGCAAATACCAGGCCAGCTTTCATGGCCATTGAGAGATGGATGAGGAAGAAATGCTCCAGTGAGGGTGCGGTTGAAGCTGGAAACGGAATTAGACGAGTAGCTCATGCCATGCTGCAAGTATCGTTCTAGGCGGTTCGACCTTGGCTTTAAACCTTTTTCCTACCATCGTTTTTTATTAGAGATGACCATTTCCATTTTCAAGGGTTAGGGGTATGAGGGTTGGGGAATATGGCTTTTCTAGGTACTGGTGTATGGAGTTGAGGTTGGGGGTTTTCTATGGGGTTGTGGGTAGTTCCATAGTATGGGTTCTATCATATGGATCTTACTATGGGTTTTTTGGTGAGGTTAGGATTGAGATATAGGTTGTTATGGTTTTGCGTCTTCAGGTGAGTTATTCCTAGTGTTCTACCTATTGGTCTTGGGTGGAGTTAGGGGTGAGGTATAGGCTGCTATGATTTGGGTAGTGCAAGAGTTGAAAATGGAAAAGGTCTATGCTAACTCTTTCATGGGCTTGCGGTATTCAGAGGTTTCCGCAGGTCCCACATAGCACTTCTGCGCACAATCTCATGTGAATGTGATGGTATATGTAGAACCCTGAAGTCGTATTGCGGTATGCGCCCTCAACTACGGAAGCCGATCCACAACCTCTTATACTAGAAGCCAGAAAGTTGGAACATGGATTTAGGAGGACCAGTGCTAGGATCCCTTAAACTTTACCTTAAGGGCATGAGGGTACTGATGTTCCAACTTTCTGGCTTCTACTGTACTTGGGCGAGATGTTCACAAACTCTTCCAAGATGCCAAGCTTGGCGAGACTCCAGCTGCTTACCAGGTGCAAACCATCCAGCTCCTGGACAGTTTGGGCGGCTGGTTCGTTGACGAGGTGCCCCAATAACCCCTTAGGAATGGAGGCAAGGGTACCATGAAGGAGACTTCAGCATTCAAATCCTGGCCTAAGCAAAGCACCCCAAGTTTCTGGAACGTGATTCTTGCAATATGGCCCGAGAGGCCGCGCATACATACTTGGGAACTTGGGTTCAGGCCGGTTCATAGCCGTATTTACTTGGCTGACTTCTGAACCCTTCCTAACAGTTAAACTTTTAGCCTCCTTATTATAGTTCCTATAGAAACCCAAAAAGTTAAAGTCTAAAGAGCCAACCAGAAGAACGCCAAGTTTAGAGGAGCACTGAGCAAAGGAATATGCGGATTGGCGTGCTTCTGATATGAATTTGTTGCATGGTGATTAGTAACGCTTTAAAACCATAGCCTAAACCCCGAACACAGCTGTCATAAAACAACCAAGAACGCCCAGTGAAACCCTAAACTTTCCCTAAGGCCTGGAGCGTTGGCCCCCAGAAACTTACTTTTGGATGAGGGGCTTCCGACAGCATGGAAGCTGCGTCCAGTAGCACCTGTGCCGTGACTGGCCACTCTTCGGCAGGAATATCCTGAGCTCGGCTGCTTTGAAGCGAAAAGGCTAAGGCGGCTACGGTTCAGGGTCCTGCAAGAAATGGGGTATGCTGCTTAGCTACCCCAGACGACACCATAGAACAGCTAAGTCATAAACCCTGAACCCGACACCGACACTGAAAACAAACAAACAATCTCCTTACATGCGGCCCGACACACAGTGGCAGACAAGCAACGTCGACAGGATACGTACTGCCACACCTACACCCCCAGACCTTCCAAAATCCCTTAATTAAGGAATATACCTTAAATTATAATAGGATCCCAAATATGAATTAAGGTATATTCCTTAATTAAGGGATTTTGGAAGGTCTGGGCCCTGAACCGTGCTCCTGTGGAGGATTCTTTCAGCCGTTAGGGCTTCGGGTGGTAATTGAACTGTGGATCTTTTCAATACTCATGGATCCGATTTTGTACCTTCGATGTGGGGCGGCCCTTTACATTTAAGAAATGGGATGACGGCATCATTACGAAGCAGGCTTTCTATTACATGCTAGATCGGGTTTCTCGCAAACACCCATATGCGACGGCAGGTTCGTGGCAGGTTACTACAGGGAAGGACTGGCCAAGACATCACAGTTTTGAATAACCCTGGTTAGCTTTTGGTAGAGGCCTTGGGCTTATGCAGCTTTATTGTATTTAGCCTGGGCGTACCTTATTCGGGGGTCCTCATAATAAGGATCCTACTACTTGGGGTAGTATATTACTTGGAGGATCATGGGACTTAGTAAGTAGGGTTATAAGTAGGTTATAACAGGATGACCCGACTTAGGGGACTTATAACCCCAGTTATAACCTACTTACTAAGTCCCATGATCCTCTAAGTAGGGACGTTATCCCTGGTTTGACAGCATGACAGAGCCTGGTGTCTACAAGGGTCCCGACTCAGGGCTAAACGTTCATAACAGTGTTTGGATAGTAAGCAGGCTTCTGAGTACCATACTCCAGGTTATAGTAAACCTTAAACCATAATCCTTAATCCTTACACCTTCCATCAATGTTGTCCCCCCATCTTTGCTCTGAGCCTCAGCACTCAAAACCCAAATCCCATAATGCTCCATACTCAAACCCTAAACCCTCAACCCCCCAAGTCGGGTTTTCGACGCGAAACATCAAACATGCCATAGGGGCTTGCACATTAGAATAAGGTTCTGCGGCCAGGCATGCTACACTGACAATCACGAACGGTAACTATTTACGGCCCCCATCGTTGTTGTTTTCGAGATTCCTTGCCAGGATCTGCAGCCGCCTCCAGCATCGTATGGCCGTCGGCGAGCCAAACGGGCAACTCCTGCGCCTCCGCAGAACAGCTGCCTGGGACAAAACTCTGTTTGAATCCTACCTATAGTCTCCATTGTAGTTCCTTTTTGGGGTTACCTTTTAGGATCCCTGATATAGAATTGGTTAAACCGAAAAAAGGAACTACAACGGAGACTATAGGTTGTCTGGTTCTGGTGTCAGTATGCCTCGAAGTCACGAGGGGCTCTAGGTCGAGGGTGTTCGGGTGGTGGGGTGCTTTGGGCTTGCCTTGGGTGGTATGTGAGTTTCCGAAAATTAGGGGTACCTTATTTTGGGGCCCTTATAATAAGGATCCTACTATTTAGGGTACTATATTAGGGTCCCCCATTTTCGGAAACTCCGATATGTGTTGTTTGTTTGAGGCTGCCTATCACCTACAGGCAGGCAGTCAGGCCGGCAGGAACATATGTACTTTCAATGTAGCTACAACATGCTATTTTGCTTATGTATGGGGAGGAACTCAGTTTAAGAATACGAACAAACACACCACACACAAACTAACAAGCAAGCAGGCAAACAACGAGGCAAGCAAGCAAGCAAGCAAGCAAGCAAACAAACAATTAAACATAGATAGAAAGAAAGATAGATAGACCGAATAGATAGATAGAAAGATACCCATGCATATTTCATGTATTCACACCTGCATATAAACGCACATATTGTTTAGATGCACCCACCTACCATCATGGTCGCAAGCCGGCGCCTGAACCACGGTTGTAAGCGGCATGACGACGATGATGATAATGGTGATTACGCTGGTGATGCTGGTGGTGGAAGTGGTGATGGTGACGATGACTGATGATGACGATGTTGTCGATGGTGGCCTTGATACCGTGTTGGAGACCCCGAGCAACAAACAGCGCGCGGATCCTTCCTCTAAGCCAACCATCGGAGCAGGAGCGTGCATGAAGCGGGAGTCTACAATCTCTTGTGCTTTCTTTAGAACGTCGGGTGCACGGCCACTCCAACCCTTTAGCTTGAGTTTGGTCTGGAGCTAGCCAGATTTGCAACGTCCGGCTTTTTTGGTGGAACTCCTCCTTCCTAGACAAACTCTGAACCCTAGGCCAGCTGCTTTGGTAGAGTTCCTCCTGGTCGGCTTCAACATCTCCGGTCGGAAGTTGCAGGAAGCAGGCGCATCGATCCTGCTGCGCTGCCCAGTGATGCGAGGCTTTGTGTCGGGTTTTTTGAAGATACTCAGATGATTACCAAGATTGTAAGCTTGGGGTGCTACTGTTCAGAGGGCTCGAACTGCGATCGTCTACAAACGCTTTTTCCAAACACATCTTGAAATGGCATAATTTTCAAGCCATGAAAAGATACGGTATGGCTGCGACGAACCACCTTGCTAAACTTAACAGGCTCAACATACATAATGGTAAACAATACCCAACGACAACACAACACGACTCTCATCTCTGTTTCGCTTACCACTTGGGCCGAAATGTCAGCCTGACGCAGAAGTAGCTCTACAACCCTTCCGAATGCGATACCTGCAGATCCAATACCCTACGGATTAAAGTACTGAGAAAGTATGGGACCATAACGGAACACCCTTACACTACGAAAACCCTTAAACACCTGACCCCCACCCTCAACAACAACAAAAAGCGCTCACAGTTCAAGTTCAACAACTAACCGTAACTAAGCCAAGGGAGGAACAAAAAATGAACGATCGAAACCTTAGTTTAATCCCCAACCTCTACAGCCTTAACCCGAAGGCCCAAAACCCAATAGAAGCTCGCGTCCGGGGCCAGAAAAGCTTTGTAGCACGGTTTTAAAGGAACCCTTGCAGACAGAAACATCATGCTTGAATAGATTGTTTTATACTATCTTTGAACATCGTGTACGATGTCATGTTCTATTAATATACCCCTGATCTTTATAAGGGAGCAACCACAACAACAAGCATAAAGGCAATGATCCGGCAATAAGTTATTGCATGATGATAAACTCATTCGTGTTGAGGCTGTTTAGGGCTTAGGGTTTAGGGTCCCTAAACCCTAAACCCTAAACCCTAAGCCCTAAACCCTAAACCCTCAGAAGAATGTCACAACTCACAATCTTAAACGAAGCCCTAGGTTCGAGGGTCTAGGGTTTTGGGGTGTATAGGATTTAGGTTTAAACCCTAAAAACCCAAAGCATACTAGCCATTAAAGAACCCCTCATTAAAAAAACTTATAACATCCCTGAAAGATCCCTTCAAACGATCCCTTACAGGAACAGTCCTGAGCGAGGCCACCTTGCCGAAGAGCCGCCAGCAGCCCCTTGGCGCGGTCTGGAGCCACCCGAGGCATCGCCACGCCGACGACCTAAGCGCTCTGAGGCGAAGGGCTCATCTGAACGTGGATGGCACTGGATTTCGATTTTAATTGTCAATTAAAATCGAGTTTGATATCCGCCCGGAGGGCGGGCCGTGTCGGCCAGGGACATCAATTAACATCGATTTTAATACCTTCCAGGGTGACCTGACCAGGCACACGGGTGTATCTAAATCGATTTTAATACCTGTGGACGGCCACTCCGCCCGGGAGGTATCAAAATCGATTTTAATACTTTTTGCTTGGAGGACGGTTTCCAGAGCGGGTCAGGGTTTCGGGAAGAGCTTCGGGTTGAGGTCCTCGGGTTTCACAAGAGCTGTGGGTTCAGGTCTACGGGCTTTGCAGCACTCTGAGGGTAGACGGTCTAGGGTTTAAGGTTTAGGGTTGAGGTCTGTGGGGTTAAGGGTGGGTGTCGGCTTCAGGTTGTCGGGCTTCACAGGGCTCCTTGTTGGGTTTAGGGCGCAGGGCTTTGGGTTCAGGTCTTTCGGCTTTGCAGGACTCTGAGGGTACTGTAGAGCGTTGAGGGCTTAAGGTCTAGGGGTGAGGTCCGCGGAGCTCGGTCCTTGGGTTTCAGGTTCACGGCTTTGGGTTCAGGTCTTTCGGTTTGCAGCACTCTGACGGTAGAGAGTTTAGGGTTCAGAGTTTAAGGTTTGTGTTCAGGTCTCAGCACTCTGAGGGCAGAGGGTTCAAGGTGTAGGGTTTGTGTGGCATTGTCTGTTTCTTCACTCTGCTGCGCGCAGTCACAGAGTGGTCAAAGGAAAAACAGAGACAGGGTTTAGGGGTTGGGGTTTAGGGGTTGGTGTTTAGGCTTAGGGTTTAGGGTTTAGGGTTTAGGGTTAAGGGTTAAAGGTTAAGGGTGAAGGGTTAAGGGTTTAGGGTTACATTGGGGCTACAGGTAAACCCTCAAAACCCCAAATCCCCAAGCCCTGAAGCTCTACTTGGGGGTTCATGGGACTTAGTAAGTACAGTTATAGGTACCTTAACTGGGGTTATAACCAATTTTAAGTCTAGTTACCTTATTTATAACCATAGTTACTAAGTCCCATGAACCTTTAAGTATAGCACCTGGGTACGAAAGCCTAGATCACGAAACCGTAGGGTTGCTATCGCCCCCTTAATGCTTTAAACGGTCCCAAGTCCTGTCATCCAGGTGTACAAATGCGTCCCATATCAATTAAAATCGATTTTAATACCCTGTGCAGGGGTCCCAATAGCCAAATCAATTAAAATCGATTCCAAGTGTTGTCACGAGGCGGACCAATTAAAATCGATTTTAATACCCTGTGCAGGGGTCCCAATAGCCAAATCAATTAAAATCGATTCCAAGTGTTGTCACGAGGCGGACCAATTAAAATCGATTTTAATACCCGGTGCAGGGGTCCCAATAGCCAAACCCATTAAAATCGATTCCAAGTGTTTCCGAACCCAGAACCTCTGGACCAGGGTATTAAAATTGATTTCAAGTCATTGGCAAGAGAAAATTTGAGAAGGTATTAACATCGATTTTAATTGTTTCTCGAAGCTAATCCCTAAAACCCGCAATCAGGTATTAGAATCGGTTTTGAAACATAACTGAAATTGAAATCCAGACTTATTTATCTGAACGTTCCTGGAATCTGTAGTCCCTTAAAGGAACCCTGGAGGGTTCCTTTGAAAAACTCTTTTAAGGAGAGTAACTTTTGAGGGTTCCTTGACTCATTCTGTTCTTAGACAGGATCCCAAGAAAGACTGCACGGCTTGCGGAGCTTTCGGGTTTAGAGTTTAGAGTTTCAGAGCAGCGTCCTTGTGGAGCTCAGGGCTTAGTACTCGTGGGTTTGACGGTCCAGGTCGTTTTGTTTGCTTAGTGTTACAAAAACGGGATTTCTTTTCCGGCTAACTATGTTGTGTCTTGGGGTCAGGCTGCGGTTTAAGGTGTGGTTTGGGGTGGAGAACATGCCCATGAGACTAGATACTCGTAGTTGTGAGGTCATGTGCAGAGCCCCAGCAGCTTAGAACTTGCACCTCTTTCTTTGGCTGTGCATGCACATGTATGTACACACGCAAGAGGGGAGCTGCTCATGCACAAGCAAGCAAAGAACAAGACAACACGCATAGAACCACACATATACATAGAGTAAACAAGACTATCCAAATACACACCAGTGCATAGTCATGCACAACATGAAACTACAGTAGAAGCCAGAAAGTTGGAATATCAGTATCGTAACCCCATTTAAGGTAAATTATAGGGGATCCTACCATGAATCCATATTCCAACTTTCTGGAGTTCCCTTTATGAACAACAGACCGAAGTTCGGGAAGATACGTAAAGTACACACTTCGGGGCTGCGAGTTCACACCAGACAACTGGGAAAACACGACACAACCCAAGGCCTTGAGCCCCAAAAGCCCAAGGCATGAAGCACCCAGACCTTCCAAAATCGCTTAATTAGGGAATATACCTTAAATTATAATTTGGGATCCTATTATAATTTAAGGTATGTTCCTCAACTCAAGGATTTTGGAAGGTTTGGGCATCATTCAGCCAGGAAGGGTTACCAATAGTCTCCATTGTAGTTCCTTTTTGTTGTTAACCAAATTTTTCGGCTAGGATCCTATAATAGAATTTTTGGTTAACCAAGCAAAGGAACTACAATGGATACTATGGGTAGGTTTCAGCCAAAAGATACCCTGAAGAAAATCCTGCAAACTGATCGGCCAACTTTAACTTTGTAAACGAGGATCGTACTATGTCAGGAAAGGTTATTGCGGCACTCCAAGCCCTATAGAACTTCCACTCGAAACTTTGAAGCCCCGAACCCTGCAACCCCCAACCGAAACAACGTTACCCTAAACCCTAAACCCCAAACCCTAAACCCTAAAGTCTGATTTTAAATCCGCCAGGCGTCGCATTTCAGGGATTGCGAAGCAGCGGCCACCTTTCGGAGCCATTCCTCATAGGCTTTGCCTTTGCCGCCATTGCAGGGTTGAACAAATTGCTTTAGGCTTATGGTGTGGAGTTTACGGTCGTTGGGAAAGAGGTATAGACCTCTACAGGTCCATAAGGTGACTTAGATGATCTGAAAACTATCCAACTTGCTACCCAGATGAGCGAATCTGGCCTCATATGTCTTGCAACTCTGCAGTCTCAAGATCGTTAACTGGATGATTTCTGAAACCCCAAAACTGTTGAGAACCCCCAAACCGAAAGAAGCCCGTTCCATCTTCTGTGATGAAGCCTCCGTTAGAAAGAAGCGCCAGACCCTTGTTTTGCTCGGAACTTCATGGATATAATATAATCACCCCAAGAGTCCAATAATCCCATACTCTCCCAAATCCTAACCTACATTGATAATTACCTAATTATTGGGTCCTTTGGACCCTTGGGGATAGGTAGGGTTACAAGTCACCTGATATGGCTCAGGATCAGAGTTACCCTACTTATCAACCCCACTTATAACTAAACAGGACTTCCAACTAGGTTACCTATAGTCTCCATTGTAGTTCCTTTTTTATTGGTTAACCACAAACTCTATTATTGGATCCTAACAATGAAATTGGTTAACCAAAAAAGGAACTACAATGGAGACTATCGGTAGGTTACTGTCCAAACAGATCCGTAGAGTGTGGAAGCCAAGTCTATAGCCTTCCTATCCGCGGTAGATGCCGCCAGCCTCCCCATGCCCAAGGGGACGAGTGGCATGGTGGGAAGGCCCAAAGTGTGGACTGTGGGTATCGTATTCCCGTGATGAGCAAGCAGGGACTGGGGATACTGTGCTTGTTCTACACCTTTCAATGCCTATACAGCCTTCAAGCTCTATGTAGTCCCAAGACCCTGAGAAAAAACCCAGATTCTTGTAGACCCCAAACCCTGAACCTCTAAACGCCAAAATCGCTCAACCCTGAATCCTGGACCTTCTAAACCACTTAACCCGTTTAAACCAACCCACATACACCCGAGGGAAGCTTCCAACCCACCAATACTTGGAGGATCATGGGACTTAGTAAGTAAGGTTATAAGTACCCTAATTGGGGTTATAAGTATAGTTACCCTAATTATAACCCTAGTTACCCTAGTTACTAAGTCCCATGATCCGTCAAGTACGCGATCCCGCCTGACACGGCGGGAAGCTCCAGGACCACCTTTTCCAGAGAGCTCTGGGGATGGGAGGGGGGCCCAGACCTTCCAAAATCCCTTAATTAAGGAATATACCTTAAATTATAATAGGATCCCAAATATGAATTAAGGTATATTCCTTAATTAAGGGATTTTGGAAGGTCTGGGGGGTTCAGGGCTTAGGGTTTCGAGTCTACGGGCTAGGCACGGCCAAGAAGGATGCGGTAATGTGAAGTTTACCTGTGTAAGACTGGCTACAATTGGATTCGAACTGGAATGGACCAGGACCCTCCTTGCACCCTCAAGCAGGGGTATATGGTCCCAAAAAAGGGGCATTTTGGGTCTAATGGAGGGTAGATGGAAGGTCTAGGGAGGGATCAGGAGTTCAGGGTGCCCTGCTTGCGGAGTAGAGATTCTGATCAACCTGGACCCCAAATACAGAGTTATCCCTTAGAAGCTGCCCCCCACCCTGCAATAGTGACTATAGAAGTATTATATTAAGGCCCTATTATATTCCTATTATACCACTAGTACAGGGTGGGGGCCCCTTCAAAATTTTACCCTTAAGCCGTTTATAAACCCTAAACCATTGGCCGCCCGCGCCCGGCGGCGGCCGGTACCACTGAACGCTACCGCTTCGAGATCTGCTTGCTTGGCCAAGCAGATCGAGTCTACCAGACCTGATTTGGCACTGCTAGCTATGGGGCACAATAGTAAAATTGGGTACCCTTATCTCGGGACCTGGTAGAAAGAGCTTGACGAGCGACCCTGGCGGGTATGGCGGGCGACTCTGGCGGGGACGGCTGACGACCCTGGCGGGGACTTGGTGGACGGACGACTTTGGCGGGGACGGCGCCCGACCCTGGCGGGGACGGCGGGCACGACTCTGCTGTGACAGCAAAAGGGCCAAAAACAGCTTGGCAGACGACTCTGGAGGGGGACGGTGGACGACCCTGGCGGGGACGGCGGGCGACCCTGGCGGGGACGGCGGACGACTGTGGCGGGGACTTGGCGACTCTGACAGGGACTGAAAAAGCCAAAAACAGCTTGGCAGACGACTCTGGACAGAATGGCGCCTTGTCTCCCGGGACGGGACCTGGTAGAAAGAGCTTGACGAGCGACCCTGGCGGGGATGGGGAGTCCTCTGGCGGGGGCGGGGACAGCTGACGACCCTGGCGGGGACTTGGTGGACGGACGACTTTGCGCGACCCTGGCGGGCACGGCGGGCAACCCTGGAGGGGACGGCGGACGACTCTGCTGTGAGGCCAAAAACAGCTTGGCAGACGACTCTGGAGGGGACGGCGGACGACCCTGGCGGGGACCCTGACCAAGCGACCCTGGCGGGGACAGCGGGGTGACCTTGGGGACAGTGGCCGACTCTGGCAAGGAGCTTGGGCGGCAAAGCTGGACAATTCTGGCACGGACTGCCGGGCGAAAAACCCTTGGCGGCCGACTGGATGATCAGCACTCTTGGCCGGACTGGCACGGACAGCGGACGGCTGCAGACCACTTCTGGAGGCCTGGCACTGGGCCCTGACGGACGACTCTGACGACGGCTGACGGACGACTCTGGCGGCCGGCGAGGACGAGCGAGGGCGTCGCTGCTATTTTGTGACTACATCACTCGGATGTCCCTTTGACGTTCCGCAACATTGCAACGTCTTTTCGGCTAGTGCAGCACTCGAATAAGAAGAAGCAGAACACAAAACCCGTTCTAGTCCTGCTTCGGGTGGTTGTGGGTGGGTTCCACGTTACGAAGACGGCGCGACCCACGACCACTCCATGGGTGGGGCGCGCCGTGGCACTGTGACACACCCTAAACCCTAAACCCTACCCTGAACCCTAAACCTCATAAGCCTGAAAAGCCTCTGACGTCTGACCCCTCCACACAACTAAGGGTCGATGCACCTACAATCCGAAAGTACCTAGATGATCTACAAAAACACACACATATATGTAAGATATATGTATATATACAATATAATATCATATATATATATATAATATAATATCATATATATATATATATATGTATATATGTATATATATATATACACGTATGAGAGAGGCTCCTTTAGGGTCCATTTGACGCATTCATTTAAATATATATATGAATATGAAATTAAATATTTTAAATATTTTAAATAATTTAAATATCTTAAATAGTTTAAATATTTATATTGTTTAAATTATTTCCTTTACAAAATAATTTAAATAATTTAAATAAATTAAATTCGGCATATTTAAAATATTTAAATTATTTAAAATATGTTTCAAAAGAAATTTTTTCAAATAATTTAATAATTTAAATTATTTAAATTATTTCCTGTAAAAAATGATATAAATATTTTAAATAAATTAAATACAGCCTATTCAAATTATTTAAATTATTTAAATTATTTCCGTTAAAAAATAATCTAAATAATTTAAATACTTTGAATAGTTAGTTAGCTATCCTAAAACAACCTTTCCAGGACTATTTAAATAATTTGAATAATTTAAATAATCTAAATAATGTAAATATTTTAAATGATTTAAATATTTAAATTATTTAAATTATTTCCTTTACAAAATAATTTAAATAATTTAAATAAATTAAATACAGCTTATTTAAATTAATTAAAATATTTAAATTATTTAAATTATTTAAATTATTTAAATAGGGTGGAAACCTTCTAACCAAATGTGACAGCCGTATTTAAGTTATTTAAATTATTTAAAATATTTCCTGTACAAAATAATTTAAATAATTTAAATAAATTAAATACAGCTTATTGAAATTATTTAAAATATTTAAATTATTTAAATTATTTAAATAGGGGGGAAATCTTCTAGCCAGATGTGGCAGCCGTATTTAAACTATTTATATTATTTAAAATATTTCCTTGACAAAATAATTTAAATAATTTAAATAATTAAAATAGTTAGTTAGCTATCCTAAAGCAACCTTTCCAGGACTATTTAAATAATTTAAATAATTTAAATAATCTAAATAATGTAAATATTTCAAATGATTTAAATATTTAAATTATTTAAATTATTTCCTTTACAAAATAAGTTAAATAATTTAAACAAATTAAATACGGCTTATTTAAGTTATTTAAATTATTTAAAATATTTAAAATATTTAAATAATTTAAATAGGGTGGAAACCTTCTAACCAAATGTGACAGCCGTATTTAAATTATTTAAATTATTTCCTTGACAAAATAATTTAAATAATTTAAATGTTTGTTTTTTTTAAATATTTTAAATATTTAAATTATTTAAATTATTTGATTTATTTAAATTATTTAAATAGGGACGGAAACTGTTTTTTCACTCCAAGGGAGGGTGAGGGGAGGGGGGGGGGCAGGGAGGGAGGAGGGGAGGGAGGGAGGGAGGGAGGGGGGAGGAAGGGAGGAAGGAGGGCAAGAGAGGGAGGGTGAGGGGAAGGCAGGGGAGGGAGGGAGGGAGGAAGGGAGCAAGGGAGGGAGGGAAGAGGGAGAGGGAGGGATGCAGGAGACAGGGCGGGAGGAAGGTCCCTCCCCTCCCCCACTCCCTGCCTCCCTTCCCAAACCTGAGAGTTTAGGGCCTAAGCCACCCCCCACCCCCATCCCCCCCGCAGCCCCATCTCCTCCCTTCCTCCACCCTTCCACCCCCTACCCCCCCCCCTGCCTCCCCTCCCCCTTGCCCTGCCCCCTCCCCCCACCACCCGACCCCTAATCCAGCCCCCTACCCCCCGGACCCCTTCCCCTCCCATCACCCCCATCTCCTTCACGCCTTCTCCCAGCCCCGTTGTCCCTTGCCCTCTGCCCCCTGCCCCGTGCCACCACCCAACCACGCCCCCACCCCACCCACCACGAAAATTTGATGCTATCGAACCGCTGTGTTTTCCAAGGCGCGGTTCGATAGCACCAAATTTTCTGAAAGGAGCCGCTTCCGAAAATTTGGTGCTATCGAACCGCTGTGTTTTCCAAGGCGCGGTTCGATAGCACCAAAATTTCTGAAAGGAGCCGCTTCCGAAAATTTGGTGCTATCGAACCGCTGTGTTTTACGAGGCGCGGTTCGATAGCACCAAAATTTCTGAAAGGAGCCGCTTCCGAAAATTTGGTGCTATCGAACCGCTGTGTTCTACAAAAGGCGCGGTTCGATAGCACCAAGTTTTCGGAAGCGGCTCCTTTGAGAAAATTTGATGCTATCGAACCGCTGTGTTTTCCAAGGCGCGGTTCGATAGCACCAAATTTTCTGAAAGGAGCCGCTTCCGAAAATTTGGTGCTATCGAACCGCTGTGTTTTCCAAGGCGCGGTTCGATAGCACCAAATTGTCTGAAAGGAACCGCTTCCGAAAATTTGGTGCTATCGAACCGCTGTGTTTTACAAGGCGCGGTTCGATAGCACCAAAATTTCTGAAAGGAGCCGCTTCCGAAAATTTGGTGCTATCGAACCGCTGTGTTTTACAAAAGGCGCGGTTCGATAGCACCAAATTTTCGGAAGGGGCTCCTTTCAGAAAATTTGGTGCTATCGAACCGCGCCTTAGAATCCAGCCCCCCCCCTAAACCCACCGCCCCTCAACCCCTGAATCCACCTCCACCCTACCAAAGAGTTAGCGAAGATGTCATTCGACAGAACAGCCTCGCCGTCAGGATCGGTGTTGGAAATGGGAAGAGACAGCAGGCTCCAAACCGCCGTGTCTCACCCACCACTTCAAGGGCTAGGGATCCCACACATCTGCGGGCAAAATCTGGCGGAAGTGATCCGCCACCGAGCAAAAAGCCTGTAAATACCGCATTAAACAAAGGGCCAGGGATTTCACATATCTGGTGGCAAAATCTGGCGGAAGTGAGCAATCGGTACTTCTGTCAGATTTTGCCAACAGATATGTGAAATCCCTGGCCCTTTGTTTAATGCGGTATTTACAGGCTTTTTGCTTGGTGGCGGATCACTTCCGCCAGATTTTGCCCGCAGATGTGTGGGATCCCTGGCCGTTTTTTGAACGCGGCATTTACAGGCTTTCTGCTCGGTCGCGGCTCGCAGGGATTATACACCCTTGCCCCCACTCCACCCTCCCGCCCCCTTCATACCTCACTACCCACCCCCCTATCTCAGCCCCTTGCCTCGTACCCCATCACCACCCACCACCCACCACCTATTATCCACCACCCGGCACCCCTCACCCGCCACGCCCACCACCCACACCCTCCCCACCAACCACCACACACCACCCACCACACACCACCCACCACACCACCCATCACCCACCACCCACCACCCACCACTACCCAGCACCCGCCAGCCACCACTACCCACTACCCACCACCTACTCCTCCCCATCATCGTTATCACCATCCTATTATCATTTATCATCGGTTTATCACCTTTATCACCCACTCCCCCAAACCCACCCCTCACCACGCCAGCACAAACCCCCTGCCCATTCACATCCCTCCCCCACCCCACCCACTACCCCCACCCCCACCACGAACCCATTAGGGTCCAACAGGGCTGCGGACACCCCACCCCCTCTCCATCATCTTCATCATCTTCATCATCTTCATCATCTGCATCATCTTCATCATCTTCATCATCTCCATCATCTTCATCATCTCCATCATCTTCATCATCTTCTTCATCGTCATCATCTTCGTTGCCGGTTTCATTGGTTTTAATACCGCTCCCTCTATTCTTAAAGGTAATTTCATAGGTATTGTACGAACCATAATACAATCGATTTATCTTAACTACTATATCAAGAATAGCTTACCACATCGCATCTACATACTTTGTAACCGGGCTTACTATAAAAGCCCCATATGAGGGATTCATAATGAGCTTCTAGAAAGTCTCTCTGTAAGGGATCTATAGTTTTTTATATAATGGGTTTCTATAAGGTCTCTACATAGAGGATCTATAAGATTTCTATAAGCAATCTGCAAGGGTTTTCCAGAAGGGCTCCATACGAGGGATCTATACAGGGCTTCCATGTGGTTTCTACAAAGGGTAAGGAATATATAGCAGTTGTCTATGAAAGCTCCATGTAAGGGATCTTGTAAAGTTTTCTACAAAGAACTCCATTTGTTGATCTATACGGGGTTTCTATAAGTTCTCTATATAGGGGATCTATAAAGTTTCTATACGAATCTATAGAGGCTGTCTATGAGGGCTCCCTACAAGGGATCTGTGAAGGGATCTATAGGGATTTTTTCATGGGAATGTATACCTTCGATACGGATAATTGCGCCTTTGTTAAGATCGTGAAGACTATTAACTACGTGATATCCTTCTTGGCTAATGCTGTGATCACATCAGATCTGATATGTATAAAGATACATTGGAAGGCACATGGGAAAACAAACTGACACATTACAGGCCTTCTAATGTGTCAATATTCCTATTGAAACCCTAAAGGCAAGGAACTTATACACTGTAGGGCATCTGTATATTGGAAGGTCTCTGGGTAGTATAAACTGACGCATTACAGGCCCTCTAATGTGTCACTCCACTCCTTCCTATGGAACCTCTATTGCAATGGAACTTTTCCACTAGAAAACCCCTGGACATAATAAACTGACACACTGCAGGCCGTATAATGTGTCGCTCCACCTATGCTATTGAAACCCTACTGATAAGAAATTGATACATCGGAAAGCACTTTTTATGGACATAACAATCTGGCACATTATACCCACTATAATGTGTATCTTCACTTCCTGGGTCTGGACTGGGCAAATTGACATATTACATGCCCTCTAATGTGTCACTCCATTTCTCCTACTGAAACCCTACTAACAAGGAACTTATACACTGTCAGGCCCCTGTACCTGGGCATATCAAATTGACATATTACAGGCACCCTAATGTGTCACTCCACCCACTCCGATTGATCCTCTACTGACAGGGAACTTATACACTGGAAAGTCCAGGACATAACAGATTGGCACATTACATGCCCTGTAAAGTGTTACTCCACTTCCCCTGTTCAAACTCTATTGACTTGGGCATAACGAATTAACACATTACAAGCCCTCTAATGTGTCACTTCATCCCTTCTATTGAAAGTATATTGACAAGGAAAATCCTACTTTGGAAGGCTCCTGGACACAGCGACCTGACACATTACAGACCCTCTAATGTGTTACTCCATTCCCCATGGAAACCTATTGACAAGGAACTTATACACTGAAGCGACCCTGTATATTGGAAGGCCCCTGGGCAGAACAAACTGACACAATATAGACTCTCTAATGTGTCACTCCACTCCCGCCTATCGAAACTCTTTTGGCGAGGAACTTATACATTCGAAAGCCCCCAGACAGAACAAACGAACACATTACAAGCCTTTGACCTGTCACGCCCACTCATCCTACTGAAGCCCTCTTGATATGAAGCTGATACATCGGAAAGCCCTTCTTACGGACAGAAGAAACTGGCACATTGCAGGGGCTATAATGTTTCTCTTCACTTCCTGGACAGGGCGAACCAATACATTACATGCACTCCTCATATTGAAACCCTATTGACAAGGAACTAGTTTGTTCAGACCTGGCTTGCCTCAGTAGATATATGTAGCATATGTAACCCGCATACACGAGAGCCTTACAGAGGCTGAGGCAACGGAAATACGACGGCAATATGGCAGCAATGATTACAGGATTGCTGTACCGCAGGTAGAACAATTGGTACTGTCACGATTGCTTCGGCTAATCTTTCTGTTTGAGTTGGCGTATGTCTTTTTGTGGGGCCTGAATGGTTATAGGCAGTTCACAGTACTCTCCCTCGGGACGTAGGATTCCTAGTTGCAGGGGCGTAGACAATACTTACTATAATTATTTTTGATTAAATCGTTTGCAATTTCTGTTCGACTGCATTAGTACTGACACTATATATGCAATACCTAATCTATGATTGTAGTGATGCTAACTTACACTAGGTAGGATTCGCAGGGACAGAGATGTAAGCAATACTTACTATAATTAATTTGGTTGTATTGGTGTTATTCGGCTGCCATGAGTTATCAACTGCGATTCGGATAGCACGGGCAGCATTACAAGCTGCTCGAAACGGGCACAGGAGGCGCAAATTTGCTTGCGGCTGCTGTCCCGCATAAGAGTGAGACGCTGCGTATCCTGTGCCAGCGCAGACGCGAGGGGCTTACAGAGGCTGAGGCAAAGGAAAGACAACTGCAATATGGCAGCAATGATTACAGGATTGATGTACCGCAGGTACGACAATTAGTAATGTCACGATTGCTTAGGGCAATCTTTTGTTCGAGTTGGTGTTTGTCTTTTTGTGGAGCCTGGATGGTTAGTGGCAGTTCACAGTTCTCTCCCTCGAGATGTAGGATTCCTAGTTGCAGGGGCGTCGACAATACTTAGTAGAATTATTTTTGGTTCCAGCGTTTGTAATTTCTGTTCGGCTACACTAATACTGACACAGTATATGCAATACCTAATAGATAATTATAGTGATGCTAACTTACTCTAGGTAGGATTCGCAGGGACAGAGATGTAAGCAATACTTACTATAATTATTTTGGTTGTATTGGTGTTGCTTTCTGTTTGATATGCATCCTAATGACACGGACCTAGATAAGAAGTATTATAAGTAGTTTGCACGTAGAGGAGGTAACTTACGCTGAATAGGATTCATAGTCGCAGTGGCGTAGACAATACTAAAAAGAAAGATTTTGGTTACACTGTTTGTAATTTCTATTCGACTGCATTAGTACTGACACTATATATGCAATGCCTAATATATGATTGTAGTGATGCTAACTTGCACTAGGTAGGAATCGCAGCGACAGGGATGTAAGCAATACTTACTATAATTATTTTGGTTGGAGTGTTATTGCTTTGTGTTCCATTGGATTCGTAATGATATTGTTATAGGTATTAATTATTAAAATTCAGTTGTCTGTATAGGTGACACTGTATATTAATCAGGTATCAACGTGGCAATGGTGTCAGCAATAATGATAAAAGTATTATAGACCTAAGTAATGCTAAACTTTTCAGAGCGTAAGTCTTGTAATATAATATGTAGGAACATATGATTTAGATAGGGATCTTATATTGTATATATGGCAGACTAGTTAAATAGACCCTAAAGGTATCGGGCTCATACACGTATACACATACTCTACCTTAAACCCCTACACCTACCCGGAAAGGACATCGTGCTAAGGAACCCTAAAAAGGCAGGTAAATTCCGGGATAAGGTAGAAGCCGAAAAGTTGGAAACCCAATAGCCTCAATCCTTAAGAGCAATTTATAGGGAATCCCAGCACTATTTGGCCTTTATCCGATTTCCAAGTTTATGGAGTTTACTGTAAGGTAAGCCCCTAAACCCTAAACCCTAATCCCTAAACCCTTTTTGAACCCTTATAGATCCCTTTAAAGGAACCCTTATAGTAAGGTAAGCCCAGCAACCATGGCAACGAAAAGATCGGCCCAAATCCTGCCTGGAGGCCCAAACCTTCGGCTTTCAGCAGCAAGTCCTGGTTGCTTTTCTTTTTTTGTTTTGGGGGGGGGGGGAGGGACGGGATGTAGGGTTTAGGGATTAGGGGTTGAGGGTTTATGGTTGAGAGCTTTACGGTTTCGACGTTTTGGAGAGGGAGGGTTCGGGGCTTAGGGTTTAGAGGTTCAGGGATTGCCGCTTTATTTGACGGGGCGGTTACGGGGCTTGGGTTTAAGGGTGGGGTGGGCTTACCGCTGATGAGTGAAGCCCCCTCCTCTTTATAGCAGTGTTCCACAGGAGGACTGCAAGAGCCTTTAAAAGGATTTATGGGAGTTTTGAAGCTACCATATAACAAGGAAAGAGCATGACAAAGAGCCTCAAGCCCTGCAAACCGGACAGGGTAACCTGTTCGTCATGGTATAACCTTCAACAAAGTTCGTGCAACACCGCAGAGCCTGCGTTTGCCTAAAGAGCCCAGAATCCCCTGCAGCGGAATCCAAGGCTTCGCTGCAGCCTGACCAGTCCTCGGCGATTTCTTGCGAGAGCAAGGAACATTGAAGCTTTTAGGGTACACGTAGAAGTAAGGGTTCTTGGCATTGCTGTGCGATTTCGGGGGAAGGGCTAGGGAAATTAAGTTTACAGGGCTTTCGTGGGCTTGAGGCTCGCAGGTTGTAGGCCTAAGAAGGAAAGATGGGGACATTCCAGGGTTTGGAGTCTGTTAGACTGTTAATTGCAAGACTTACAGAATTATTGAAATTTCGTAAGACATTCCGGGGCTTGCGGTATGTATGTATGTATATATGTATGTATGTATATGCGTATACATACATACATATATATATGCGTACATGCATGAATAGATCCTGCATTGCCTTGAATGCCTCACACGCTAAGGAGATACGGTGAATTTGACGAACATCTGAAATCCTTTCATCATCTCTGTAAGCAAAAGCAAACGTCCTTGCCAAACCATACGTGCACCCTAGAGAACCCTCAACTCAACCAGACCATAAACCGAACCCTTACCAAACCACACGTGCAGCCTAGAAAACACTCAACTCAACCAGACCCCAAAAGCGCAAGATTTTGAAATCTTCACTCTCGCCCTGAACCACCTGAACCCTAAACCCTATAAACCCTAAACCCTCGCCCTCACCCTCAAACAGGAGCACCAACCACCGCCCCGCTCCAAAACAGATCCTAACCATCGCCGAGACTGTCTCTTCTAGTAGAATTACCCTAAACCCTAAACCCTAAACCCAGTGAAGTCCCAGGGTCGGGCAAAGCCAGGCGCACAGCATTCAGGCCAGGCTCCTGGGTTTGGGATCTCTACAAACCAGACTCCTGACAGGATCTAGAAAGTAGATCCCCTAATTTGGGGCCCCAAAACTACTAAGGGTACAGGAACCCCCATTGAGGGATCTACTTTTTGGATCCTCCACAGTGGTCTGGGAAAAGAACGTTGGGAGGAAAGTCTCTAGTCCAAGGATAGGGCTTAAAGGCTTGTTTGTCCGGATTCGGAGAAGTATAGCCTGAATAGAAGAACCCTAAACCCTAAACTGAACCCTCAACCCCAGTGAGGATCCGGATGGTTCAAACTTAAGCAGACACCCCTGCGAAACCCAGCCTTGACACTGACTAGACCCAGGGCCCTAACCAGATCCCGACCTCTACCTATAGTCTCCCTTGTAGTTCCTTTTTGGGGTTACCTTTTAGGATCCCTGATATAGACTTGGTTAGACCGAAAAAAGGAACTACGATGGAGACTATAGGTAGGCCCGAACCGCTTGAGCCCCGAACTGTCAACTCGGCCCTAAACCCTAAACCCTGTTTTTGGGCTTGCAGCTCAGGGTTCAGGTTTTTGAGGCCAAGGGTTTAGGGTTATTCGGGCCCAGGTGTTTCCTGGTAGCCGCGCCGAGGTACGCCAAAGGCTCCGGGAAGCTTTGCGATGGACTCCAGAACAGAAGGCAGATTTTCCTTTCGGAAGACGGGTTTAATATCGGGGCCTTACCAATTAGAACAAGTTTTGCCCACATGTAATAATGTATAATAGGTACGGGTATAAGGATGTACGGCATAAAACTAATTACTAATCTCAGACTGTTCCGAGCCCCCACATAAGGGTTCATATTAGGTGTGATGGGGCTGAGGGTCAGGGACTGAATGATTACTGCAGTCATTACGGCTGCGACTATCCTTGTCATGATTGTCACGGTTTAGTGCTTAGGGCTATTATTGAGGGTTCAGACCATGCGCCCAGGGTTTAGGAGTTAAGGGTTTGTGGTTTACCACAGAAGGCGATCGACATGATATACGGCATCGGACGGGCCGTGTCCACTGCCACTGAGAAAGAACATCAGCCTAGCTGAACCCCATATCCTGAAGCCCTATAGACCCTGAACCTTGACCCTGGAACCGCAATTCCCAAACCATGCAAAGCAAACAACAACGACAAGAAACCCTAAACCCTAAACCCAAGAACATCTCCGCAGATCCGGCTTCGGGTTCCCGGTTTAAACCTAAAGCCTAACCCCACACCCTAAACCATCCTGATCCCTTCCCCTAAAACCTAAACCCTAAATTAAACAAACCCTAACCTTGGAACCCTAAACCCTAAACCCTAAACCCTAAACCCTAACCCGAAGCCTTTCAGATTTCAGGGTACAAGGGCTCACAAGGGCTTTTTTTCAAGCTGAAGTGCACTCCCTTCCCGAAGATCCGAAGCGGGCTTCATATAGGGGCCTGAACAATCAGAATAGGGTTTTGGGGCCCATTATACTACAAGTATAATACGGAACCCACAAAATAGTATAGGTAATTGTATTAAGGCCCCCTATGTTTTTTATAGAAAGGCCCCTACATTCGGGTTTAAGGCTTCGGGGTTTCGATCTCGCCGAAGGACTGGGCTTTTAAGTAACCAGGGATAAGAAAAGTATAAACTTTTATTTCATAATGGTTCCTTAAAGAAAAAAGTATTAAAGTATGGTACTCCAAAGCCCAGAGGATCCTCGAAGGCCATGCAGAGGCGCACACCCCGAAGAGGCTCCTGGGCCCCGCTTTGAAGGTTAGAAGTGCCCAGACCTTCCCAAATCCCTTAATTAAGGAATATGCCTTAATGATTATTTGGGATCCTTTTATAGTTTAAGGTATATTCCTTAATTAAAGGATTTTGGAAGGTCTGGGTGGATTTAGAGTTTAGGGTTTAATTAGTTATAAACTAGGGTTCAGGGTTTAGGGCTTTAGGGGTTAAGGTTTCGGAGTTTGGGGGTTCAGGGGTTTAGGGAAGGTTAAATAGAATCATAACTGAACGTGGAGTTTAGTGTCTAAGTCTTGGGGATGTAGGGTGTAAGAAGGCCTAGGTTTCTGGGGTCAAGGGGATTTATGTTTAGGATTTCGGGTCTAAAGATTGGGCTTTTTTGGCTTACCATGTCCACACTGTCTGTACATTTTCGGCGGGCCGGAAGGGGGACATCGAAACGCCACCCTACCTACCTACCGACCCTGCCTACATCATGCATGCATGAATGCATGCAAGGGATGGATGGATGGATGGATGGATGGATGGATGGATGGATGTGGATACACATAACTACGCACATATGTATATATATATATATATATGTGGAAAGAGACGGGTCTTCAGAATCAGATTGGGCTTTGGGATTTCTTCCCTAATCATGCAAGGACTATAGAAAGAACATCAAACATGTCAGGCCCAAACATCAGGGAACTGCAAGATTCAAGCATTAAACCGGAAGATTCAAGCATTTTACCTAAAGCCGTGCCGTTTCTAAACGGCCTAAACGTTCAAGGCTTGACATTACCCTAAGGGTCCATGTACCCAAATAGTATATACTTTGGGGCCAATGTACCTATATAGGGACTACATTAAGGCCAATGTATATACTATTTGGGTACATGGACCCTTAGGGCTACACCCAGAACACTTCACCACAGGGTTTTGAGTGCTCTAGCAACAGTGGCTCCTTGTGGGCAAAGAGGTCGTGAAGCACCCCGAGGATACCTCTCCAGCCATACGGACGCGAGGGTTCCGGCGAGGGGTCGAACTGTCCTAAGAGTGCATGTATCACCATAGCCTATCTGTGACCCTAATTTGCTGAAGTACCTATACAGGTACCCATTGAAGCCGAATTAGTGTATATGTGGTGTAGGCACAGGCACCTTCAGGATCATCGATTTGGAGGGCTGGGATTTGGGATCATCGACTGCTTTGGCCTTGATATTGAGCTTAAGAGTGAGAAGCAACTAAACCCTGAACTCAAGTCCTGCAATGAACACGCCCTAAATCCCTAGAGCCCAAAAGCCTGATATAGTATGGTCTTTGGGCCCAAAAGCCTTAATATATGAGTCCTTAGCGTCACCCCGATGCCCCTTGCCCCCGGTCGTGCCTCGCATGTCCTCAACGGGATCATCCGAGGAGCCGGGATAATCCTTTCCGAAGAGTGCTTCCTGCAAGCAGGATGGGAGCTTCCGAAAAAGATTTTCTATACTTATTATCGGGTCCTTATAATCAGGATGCGAGTATTTAGGGTACTGTATTTGGGTCCCCTGAAGAGTGCTTCCTGCAAGCAGCTTGGGAGCTTCCGAAAAATACGGGGGGAGGACCTTATTCTAGGGTCCTAATAATCAGGAACCTACTATTTGGAGTACTATATTTGGGTCCCCTATTTTCGGAAACTGTCAGGTCAACTCTGAGCCGGAACTGGGTTTTCTTACATGCTTGAACCTGCAGGCATTCGACACACGCGCACAAACTACAAGACAGAGACGTATGTTTATGTATGCCAGGTATGTGTGCACATACATACGCTTATACATACATACAGACATACATACATACAGACATACATGCAGACATACATACATACATATATACACATACATGAGTGTATGTGTGTATATATGTACACACACATATCAAACACAGCTTGTACATATTTATTTGCTTATCGTCCTGGTACAGTGTTCATTGGAGCGATGTTTCCTTCAGTAAATGGCCAAGATGTTTGGCAAAAGCTTCCGCGAGCTGCTGGTACAATGCAACACTGCACACCACTAAGGGCTCCTTTAACGGGGGCTCCTTTTCAGGGGTTGATCTCATAAGGGTTCCCGTGAAGGTATCGGCCGGCGCATGTGTGCAAGCAGGCATCTTTGGGTCAGATGAAGAACCGAACAATTCTTCAGGATGCTATTTTTGCTTAGGGTTTAGGCTCTAGGGTGTAGGGTTCAGTTGTACTAAGGGCTGCAAAGACAGGATTGTGAGGATGCTCCTCGTCCTCCTCGTCTTCCTCTTCGTCCTCTTCATCCTCTCCTTCCTCCTCGTCCTCGTCTGCATCCTCCTCCTTCTCCTCCTCTTCCTCCTCCTGCTCTTCCCGCTTGGCAGCCACCGTGTTGGCAACATGCCTCAGTCGATGCTGCGCAGAGGCCAAGGATGAGGTTTAGGGTCAGGGTTTAAGGGTTAAGGGTTAAGGGTTTAGGGTTTGGGGTTTAGGGGTTTAGGTGTTTAGGGGTTTAGGGTTTAGGGGTTTAGGGTCCAGGGTTCGGGGTATAGGGTTTAGGGTTTAGGTTTATTCAGAATCGACTCTTCAACGATATGGCCAAGCATAGTTGCACAAATGGAGACTCCCCAATTACTGTTCCGACGAAACTGCTGAGATCCCCAGACCTTCCAAAATCCCTTAATTAAGGAATATACCTTAATTCATATTTGGGATCCAATTATAATTCAAGGTATATTCCTTAATTAAGGGATTTTGGAAGGTCTGGGTCCCTGGCCAAAAGAGGGCTATTACTCCGCTTGAAGCTGCCAGGTCCTGCTGCCAGCACAAGGACACGCACCCAGGTGCCCTAAAGCCTAAATACATTAATGTCGGGGCCTTAATTGTTAGAATAGGATTTTGGGGTACATTATAGGAACTCCCAAAATAGCATAGGCATAGGCAATTATTTTGGCCTCTATAGTCAACCACCAAGGTGCCAGCTGACAGCCCAAAGCAACTCGACGATGCGCTTGTACAAGGCATGGGCCAGCACAGCGTGCATCTCTTCCAGTACACGGCTGGCCTGAGTAGCCCGGTTAGGGATTAGGGCTACTACTACTGACTGTAAGAGCTAGCAGGGTTCTATGAGGGTACTATAGAAAATCGCGGACCCTAAGATAGTACCCCAAATAGTAGGACCCTTATTATAAGGACCCCAAATAAGGTACCCCCAATTTTCGGAAACTCCCATAGGGGCTATTGCAAGGGCTACTATAAGGGCACTAACGGGCTCAGGGCTTGGGATTGAGTGTTCGACCAGCAGGGGCAGCACGAGGCTCCAGCAAGGGTTCCTATACGGGTCATCATCTTCAATCATCACCAACCAACGATTGAAAACGCGACAGATTCTGGAACACAAATGTGCGAGAAAACCAACTGGAAAATTGAGCCTGAATGGACCCAGGCAGCCGTCTCAAACTGAGAGTAAGCCTCTTTGGCGGGCTCGTGCAGCTTGGCGGTGTTTTTGGCAGAGTCTTCCTTGTAGATCCTCATGGCCACGCAGTGGTCTGCTGCAGATTTCGCCAGGTTTTGCACCTGTGACCTCAGCTTCTTGCAAGGAAGCCCTAAGTAATAATCATTGGGACCCATCGTTCATGGCTGTTCAGCTGAAATATGAAGACTGCTGTTTGTTGAGCCTGGTATTTCCGTTTGAAGAATCCTAAACCCTAAACCCTAAAACCCGAAACCAGGCATTGACATGAGGACCCCTTCTTGAAAAAATCGGCCAAGTCGAAGCTGAAGATGTTGACGCAAGCAATCGGTCGTGCCGCTCATGCTATTGTTGATAATCTAGTGGCTGAAGTGAATGATGATGGTGATACTGTTCATCATCATAATTATGACCGTGACGATTTTTATGGTGATGATGATGATGATCATCATGATGATGACGCATGATTAGAGAGGAGGTGAGAGTGGTGGCGGTGGCGGCGGCGGTGGTGGTGTTTGCGGTGCTGACCCTGACCAACATCATTATCAACATCTCTGGTGATGATTCTACTACCTGGTTCCTTATTAGTTATAATTACAGTATAGTGGGCCCCGAAAACTATTCCAATTATTAAGGCCCCCTATAATAGCGGGAGTTTCCGAAAATAGGGGACCCTAACATAGCACCTTATAATAACAGTCGGATCCTTTTTTACAAGGACCCCAAAAATAAGGTGCCCCTATTTTCCGAAACTCCCGAGTGTCGATCAGGCCAAGAAACACAAACTCGCCGCCTTCCCGGCCGCCACGCGGTCCGCTAGCCCAAGGCAAAGCCAAGGCCTGCCAAGCCTCCCGGGCCTCTTTGGCCAGCTTCTTGTGATCCTGCCTTGCTTAGTTTAGGGTTCAAGGTTTAGGGTTTAGCGTTTAAGGGTTAGCGTTTAGGGTTTAAAGTTTAGGGTTTAGCTTCTTGTGATCCTGCCTTGCTTGCGAGGTCATGGCTCTGGGTTTCGGGCTTATGGGGCTTTGGGTGTAGGGTTTAGCTCGGAGGCTCTGTTGACAAATAGAGGGTGATGTATAGGAAGGGTTCGGGTTGTCGTTTTGTTGAAGGGCTATACTGATTCCGCACTCAGTGTACATGCTCTTTTTGCTAAGCCAAAAAGCCATGTGCCGACACACATGCACTCTAAGCAAGCTAGTTTTTGCTAGAAGTCATAAGTTTTTTGGTAAGGTTGTGCTATAAGGGGTTACCAGGGTTTGGTACGGGTTTAGGGCTCTGGGTGCCTGGCGGTGGGCGTAGGGCTCCAGGCGAAAGGGATGGTTGTGGGTGTTGGGGCTCAAGGTTTCCTTTGGTTGAGGGTTGACTTACCTTTGGTTAGTAGGGAATGGAAGAATCAGAGTAATAGTAGTTATAATTGTACCCCATTCCTCCATTCCCTACCAAAGGTAAGTTGAAGGATTCTGGCTTCGGGTCTTGCCAGAATGGCTCACTCAGGACGTCCTGAAGGGGCTCGAACCTGCGCTTCTTACATTGTGCCACTACGTATGCATTGTTCAGGGCCGTCATCAGAGCAGAAAGAGACAAGCTCTAGGGCCTCGCCACCTAGACGGACTCTGGGCCTAAACCCTACACCCCAAATCAACTCTGGGCAAATTTCCGCCCTAGACAACAAAGCAAGACGCTTGCATCCTCTCGAGCAGCCCGAACAAAAAGAGCTTGTGCAACAAACGCACTAACACCTTACATCCCTAGGTTCAACCACAACGCTAAACCCTTTTGAAGCAGGAACTGGATTAGTGAGTGTCCAACCACACAAACGAGCACACTTTTTGGTCTGAGCCCAAGACGTCTGTCGTACAGGGTGCGTTCAGAACTAACACAAAAACTACGCTCGCATGAGGACATGTCAACACGGCGCTTCAAGACAGGGAAATTTCACACCCGTCTTATCTGTAGTGTGACGTCCGAATCATGCTCGAATTTGATCGCTTTGGATCAAACCTACTTCACCGGATTATACCGGGAGCTTGCGCAGTCAACCGAGCCGAGTGCGGCGACTCAAGGCTCTAGGCTGAGTTCTTCAATCGCGAAGCGGAGTGCTTTCGGTACTCTCGGTATTCTGTGCGGCTTGCGCGGGCACATCGAGTACCTGAACGAGATTGCGATCAATGCTGTGATTGATCAAAAGCGGTTTCATACTCTTAGTGAGGCAATCCGCAAGTTGTAAATGCGTCGGTATCCATCTCAACTCATCGCCACAGGGATGGTATAGAACGTGCGTTAGCTCGTCCTCTTCCCAAAGTCCTTGGCGGAGTCCAGACATCTCAATGGCAAGGCGTTTATCCTCGCAGGACTTTGGAATCGACGCTGTCAAGTGATCCGAAAGGGACCTGCAGTCCGTATACTGCAGGTGGAACATCGATCTCTTGGCGACTTCTTCCCAGTTCTGTGACCGGGGCAGTTTGCCGAGTACTTCGAGTACTGCTGCTCGAATACGGTCTCCATGCTCTATGGCATGTTGCAACGAGTAAGCCTCACACTGCAGTGTGGCGCGACAAACCCGTTTCATGGTGGACGAGGAGAACGAAATGAGGTGCATCTCATGCGTTGGCGCGTTCTTGTCCACCGCCGACTGTGCGGAAGTGAGATAGTGGAAACGGCCTCTCTGCGACTTATGGTTCGCCTCTCCTGCAAAGGAGGCGTCGCAAAACGTGACGACTGCCAGCTCCCCTGTATTCCAGGGTAACTTAGCGCTGTACGTAATCGGCCTATCCGCATCTCCTAACGCCAGTGCTACTACGCGGTTTGCTTCACGGAGCGTATCCACCGTGGCTGTCGTAACACGCTGCTGCAGGGCATTCACCCTATAGGCAAGATCAGGTCTCGTGGCACGGGCCACCCAAGCCAGCGATCCTATGACGGATCTCAGCGCTGTGCGCTGGCCATTCGAGACTGGAGTCGTGCCCTTTTCAGATTTATGTATATCGATCGGGCGAATTGCACGCGTGTTGTCCCTACAGTTTATACTGATGGTCCCATCGGCGCTTTGCACATACTCGCGTCCGCAGAAACGGAACTTCTCAGTCTCTATGCGACCGATCTTAAACTTATCCAGCAGATTCTGGATAGCCGGCTCGCCTTCGGCGGTAGCAGCCCACAGGAAATCATCCACGTGGGTGCACAAGCAAGCGCACAAACGACCACCTTCTCCTGTAATATAGTACAGGGCTGACAGAATTTGCGAGGCATTTAAGCCAAATTCTCGGCAACTCTCCTTTATACGGAGGTAAAGGTTCCGACCCGCGTCGGTGGTGCCGTACACGGGTACTCGGGCAATCATATACCCGGCTCGCTGAATCTCTGCATCGGGCACACCCTTAGGGTGTTTGGGAACCCGAAGAATGAGGAGGCGCTCAAGGGGTTTCCCTTGGAAGTATGCGTTCGTTATATCGGCTGCTTTGAGCCGCAGGGCCAACGAAACCGCCCATGAACACAGAAGGGCTATACCTTCCGGCTCGGCCGTGGGGCTGTCTGCCCTGATATCCTCCTCATTCGAGATATGCTCGAAGTTTCCACATGCGACCAAGCGTGCTTTCCACTTGGGAGTGTATGCTGCTGTCCCCTTTAGGTGTTCATTCTTATCGGTAAGAACCCATTTGGTGGGGATACACACGTGGCCAGCCTTTGTAAGCTCCTTAAACTCCTTGTCTGTGCAAGGGACCACTGCGTTGAATTCAGTGTACTTCTGCCATTCAGTCTTCATGGCAGCATCCAGCCCCAGCTGTACCTCTACAGGGGCCTTATGGTAATCCAGGAGCGAGGCCATGTAGCCAACATCGACATTAGAGCCGAAGGCGTCTTCCCCATCAGGGGTGAGAGCAAAGGCCTTGGATTCCGCCTCTCGACTATCCGAGGGCTCAACTGCTGGCACTGTCGTGCCAATCGCAGCTGTGTGCGATGCTGCTGCCAGTCCGTCGTCTTCCTCAGGAATGTAGTGACACGGATGGGCTTCTGGCAGTCCGTTAGCACGTATGTGCTCCGCAAGTTTCGAATGCTCGAGCCATATGTGCTGGGCGATATTTCGCCGATGGCATCGCCGCCAACTGGCCTCCGAACACAACAGAAGTATTCGGTGAAAGTCATCGTGAGCCTCGCTAACTATTCTAGCGATCGTACAGAGCCCTTGGTCTGTTTGCAGGTTGGCTTCAATCCCGCCCCGATTCCTGTTGCCTAACTCGGGGGCGTGACTGTACACAACCCCTTTTGCAAAGCATGTGGCAGAAAGCTCATCACAATTGTATTGTGGATGCCGAACGCTGTACGGGTGGCTTCTGCAATCTACGATTTCCTTAATCCCGTACTCGTGGATGCGCTCTAGGAACGTCTCGATGGGAAGATCAGAGTGACCCATGGTGTATATCCCATCGCCTTTCCTGCCAAAGGTGTTGGGCGCATCCCTATATATGGGATAGCCTAGGTCCGACAAAAGCTGTATGTCATCTTTAGACAACTTACCGAGGTCACTCACCGTGTATGCGGAGAGACTGTATCTTTCTCCTACGAACGGTGCGACCATGTGCACGTCCTTCGGGCGAAACTTAAGAACCTTGTCCTTAGTATCATGGACGGTGCCATACATTGTCGTGTTTTGAATACGCACGGGAGTTGTACCCGTGGCTTCTTCCACCCATAGGCCGCCTCCACGATACTCGCCCACACCTATAGTGTAGTTATACGAGCCAGGAGTGTTCGCTAGGTCTCTATGGGCCTCTGCGCCTCTGTTGGTAAGCTGAACGCTACTCCACTGTGGAAGATGGTGACCGGCTTGCATACTGTGATGCAAGAGGTAGTGGTTGAGGTACATGGCGAACGACGGTCTCTCGCGCGTTGGTCCAGAGACACCAACAAGACCACCGTGCCGATATACTCCCACCGCGAGGGCTATGCTCCCGGGATCTCCGTCATCTAGGAGCGGGCGCGTGTACGCCTCGCGTCGGTCGCGGTCATAAGCGCGAAGGAGGGCCAGACACTCATCTGGAGAAAAACCCTGAGCATCTATCAGGCCTTTTGCCATGATCTCTACTTGATCAATCTCTTCCGCAACTAGTGCGTCATCACGGCCTCCTACTGGCGATCGCGACCGGGCGGTTTCGCCCGTCTTATCTTTGGCGCGAAACCTTGCAGGGGTAGATGGCGCTGGCATCGGTGTGCCGGGCATCATCGCTGGCGTCGATGGTGCTGGCATAGGCACATCGTGCGCGACTGCCGGTGTAAGCGGGGCAGCTGCAGCCACTGGACGTGGCGTCGCTGGTGCTGTGACCGGATCCGCTACGCGCTCATCCTGGAACCTTTGTTCCGGCCCATGTACGATGGCTTCCGGAAGCACTGGTTCACCTGCCAAAACGCGGTGCGCTGCAACTTCGATTTCATCAGCTGGGCGCATCTTCCTAGCGTTCACAAGTACAGGGATATTCTCGTGTAATACCCAGTACGCATTCTCTGCCTCACGTCCTATGACGCGGCTAACCGTGGACCATACGACTCCTGGGCTGCCAGGGACGTTGTCCCGACGGTAGATAACTAAATCACCAACCTTATAATCAGTGTCTAGAGGAGCTGCATTACGCTGTAACGCTTTGGCCACCTTGCGGGAAGTCTCTAAATGAACAAAGGCCTTTTTGGCTTCCTGCCGTGCTCTGTGCCGAATGTAGTATACACTCGTCTCATCATACTTGGTGAACAATGTACCAAGACTTTCGGATTCATCTAACACGGAACCCGGTGTTCGAGGCTGCTTTCCCAACACGTGTTGTGCTGGGCTAAACCCTTGGTGCCTACTAAGCTCGTTCTTAGTAGTGACACTCTCGGTAACGACCGCCTCCATCTCC